AAACCCTAAACCCTAAACCCCAAACCCCAAACCCCAACCCCCAGACCCTAAACCCTAAACCCACAACTCCCCCCAATCCACGACTTCACTCATTTAGGGTTTTTTTTAACGTTAAAAAGCAAGCCCTAAATCCAGGACTTCACTCACGGCAGCCCCCTGGCCCTAACGTCGCTCCTTGGTGTGAGCTCCGCAGTGGTGGACAACGTCCCGCTGGTGCAGGCGCTCCCGGCCGCACCCACAGCCTCCCAAAACCCTTGCATGGGGTTTAGGGTTTGGGGTTTGGGGTTTAGGGTTTAGGGTTTAGGGCTACTCCAGGCAAGCATCCAGATGTTCCATGAGCCGATGGACCACCCGCTCTGGCAGATGGTTGCCCTGGCTGGTGGCACCGGGGGGTCCATGTGCCTCGGCTCAGTGTGGGAGGGTTTAGGGTTTAGGGTTTAGGGTCTAGGGTTTGGGGGGATCGGGGACGCTGGCCATGGGTTCAGGGTTCAGGGTTCGGGGTTCGGGGTTTAGGGTTTAGGGGTGTAGGGTTTAGGGTCTTAGTGGGTCGGGGGTGCACGTGAAGGTGCTTGGGTTTGAGGTGGCCCTCAACCCTAAGTCCTATAAGCCCTTAACCCTAAACCGGAAGGTGACCAGGGCACTCCTCCCCTGAACCGGCTCCGCTTGCTGAGGCTGGCGGTTGGCTCCGTGGCAGGCCACGAGCAGCAGACCTCAGGGTCTAAGGGACTAACGCAGGGTTCAGGGTTTTAGGGTATAGGGTTTAGGGTTTAGGGTTTAGGGTTTAGGGTTATGTCGGGGCTACTTAGGTATATAGGGACTATATAGGGTATATCTAGGGCAGAGTGTGGGGTTTGGGGCGACTTTATGCTACTATTTGCTTAAGAGCTCACCAAAGAAGCATTAAAGACAGTGATCCCTTTATTGCCCCTCTAAGGAAGAAGGCTTCGTTTTTTGAATTGGTTTGGGGGTTCTGAAGCAAATCGTAGGATTGGGATGTGCCCCCTTATACTAGCAGTCCTGAACAGGGATTCTAGTACCCCTAAACTGTCCCAAGCTCTAAACCCCAAACTGCCCTACACCCTAAAAGCTTTCCTAAACAGTCCCGGGCCCCAAGCCGCAAACCTTCCTAAGCCCTTGGCCTTTAACCCTGAAGCCGATCCGAAACCGCCAGCGAAACTCCAAAGCGTTGAAGTCCTAGCGTAAATCCGAAACCCTCTGCCGGAAATTCGAAAACTCTAAGCTCTAAACCCTAAACCCTAAACCCTAAACCCTAAACCCTAAACCCTAAGCCCTAAGCCCTAAGCCCTAAACCCTAAACCCTAAACCCTAAACCCTAAACGCCACAGTGATGCGGGGCCAGTGGTCCACGGTCAGAGGCTCCGTTTTTCGGGTGCAGGGTTTTAGGGGTTTTGGGGTTTAGGGTTTAGGATTTGGGGTTTTGGGTTTAGGGTTTAGGGTCTGGGATTTAGGGTTTAGGGTTTAGGGGGCTTATTGCATACACCAAGCCAGCGCTATCGAAGAAGAGCTGTTGAGCCCTAGAGTGTACCCTAAACCCTAAACCCTAAACCCTAAACCCTAAACCCTCAACCCTCAACCCTCAACCCTCAACCCTCAACCCTCAACCCTCAACCCTCAACCCTCAACCCTCAACCCTAAACCCTAAACCCTAAACCCTGAACCCTCGAGACGCGAAGCCTGCAGGTGTGACGCTGATGGGCCTGGAGGGGGTGGGCTTCTGGGTCCAGTCTGGGATCCTTTTGGTTTTATGGTGTTTCTTGTGTTTAGGGCTAGGGTTAGGGTTTGGGGTTTAGGATTTAGGGTTTAGGGGTTTCGGGTTTCGGGTTTGGCCTGAAACTATCTTTGTTGCCAACCCCAAGCGCAAAACCTCAAAACCCCAACAAAGCAGGATGTACATCATCCCTTGCCACGCCAAGGGGCGAATCTCCAAAGGCCTCAAAGGCCTCGCAAGGACTCAGCTGATGTACATCGTCCCTTGCGACGTCCAGGGGCGAACGCACCAGCCAGCCCCCAACCCAAGGTGCAGACACGAAGCATTTTGGCCGCCTCCCAGGTCCTCCAGTTTTCACTTCCAGGGACCTCCCAAGGGCTTGCCAGCCCCCCCAACGCAGAGCCTCAGACACCAAGGCCTAGACAATGAGCATGGGCAGAAAGCAAGGAAAACCCTAAACCCGCAAAAGTCAAGACGAGGGTGGAGCGCGAGCGGGGGTGGGGGTCAACAAGTCGGGGCGCGCGCCTGGGTGCTTTTAGCACCAGCCCGCCCCCTCAATGAGACGCCCTCAACCCCAAACCCCAAGCCCTAAACCCCAAACCCCAAACCCCAACCCCCAAACCCTAAACCCTAAACCCCAAGGCTTCCTGTGGTACACCCGGCGGATCACTCCCTGGGCAGCCCTGGGATTCGCTGCAGGGATGGGCCGCTCGGGATTTGCGCACTGAGGGTGTTAGGGGGGTTCAGGGTTTTAGGGGGGTTTTGGGGGCTTTAGGTGGGCTCTTGGAAGGGGGGTTGTTGTTCCGGTTTGGTGTTTCCTTTTGGGGGGGGGGGGGGGGGGGGGGGGGGCGGTGTTCAATTTCTTTGTTCTTGGGGTCGTGCCGTAGTGTCTTCATATGCGTTCAGGGGTGTGGTGCTAAGTCCTAAGGATTGGGCGGGAGGGGGGGGGGGAGACGGGAGAGGTGCTTACGAGCTGCAACGGATGGTGGTGCCATGAGACGCCATCAGTTTCGTATCCTGCGACGGACGCTTGTCTCAACATGGAAATCCTGGAAGAGTGTGTGGGATTGACTCGGGTTAAGTGGTTCAGAGATTTCCAGGGTTTGGAGTTTTTCGTGTCCAGGGCAATCCTGAACTCGCAGCCCCGAGCCCTCGGCACACAGGAGCTGCCGCGGTGAACTGCTGGCAGCTTCTTGCAGGGTCGGCAACGGCATAGGGCTGAGGGCACACATGTCCGACAGATGCTCGAAGAATGGGCAGCTACTGTCGGATTGCGGCTCCTCCCAGCGACATTGTTTTGGTCGGAATTCAATTTCTCCAATGAGGTTCCCAACTGCACCTGCAGAGGGCCTCGACCCGGGTCCAGCTCACAAGTGGGGGGTTGTTCCAAATTAGTTTAGGGTGTCTAGGGTTTAGAGTTTCGGGTTTAGGGTTTAGGGTTTAGAGTTTCGGGTTTAGGGTTAGGATCGATTCATGGTGGAGCAAGGTAACTGGAATGCTTGTGCCAATCTTCGTTTCCTTGCGCTTTCGCCTGTCTCAGTCTGTAGCTTTGGCAGCAGAGGTGTTGCAGCATTCCAAGGGACCCTACCTAAGCCCTAAACCCCAAGCCCTAAACCCTAAACCCTAAACCCTAAACCCTAAACCCTCAGCCCTAAACCCTAAACCCTTTTCGGGTGAAGGCAAGTTCAAGAGACTTCACTTTGTGGGCGGCCGGGCCGGGTGAAGGCAACGAGCTGCCTATGGAGTCAGTTCTCGGGTGGTTTTAGCCCTCTCCTGACTCCAACCTTTTAAGACCCCAGAGACCCCTGGGAGGATCCCAAAAAAGTAGATCCCTTCGAGGGTTTAGGGTTTAGGGTTCAGGGTTCGGGGTTCAGGGTTCCGAAGAATAACCCGCAAGAGTAGTGCAGGGTACTGCTTTTGAGGGTTTCTACTTTTTGGATCCTGCGCAGGGGGTCTGGGAACCAGTACAGGCTGGAGGTTCGCCGTAGAAGCGGCGAAGGCAGCGCAGCACCAACTTTCCTTCCTTGGGCAGCTGTGAACTCCCTACGAACCTCTCGAGATGGTAGTCTAGGGTTTGGGGTTTAGGGTTTAGGGTTTAGGGTTTAGGGTAATTGCAGCTGCCACAGTGATGTCCAAGCACATGCTTGGAGGACGACCGTCCTGAGCATGCACACTGGAGGAACCCCTAAGAATGCACCCATCATTCGGCGAAGGCTACATGAAGGTGCTGGGTACCGCAGCAAGTGTGGCATATTTTGTCTAGCTTGGCGGAGAGGAAGAGGCGGAGGCAGGACAAGAAATGGTTCTTCCGCATAGCTCCATTTCATGCAGGTGTCTCGCGCCATCTCTTGTCCGCCAGGGTGTCTTTTCACTGCTGAGAAGTAGCAGTCAATTCATGAGGCAAAGCCTTGTTGCATGACCGCAAGAAGCACACCGCTGAAGGGCCGTGCAAGTTTTTAGCGACGGATCGCGAAGAATGTGGAAAGCCACCCGCAAGCGAGAGTCATTCCTTGAGATGCTTGTGGCAGAGATTGGTGCTTGCTATAGGTGAAGGTCTTGACCTGGAACAGGCTTTTGCATAACTGTATAACTTCTGTATAACTGTATAACTTCCGAGTGTTCGCGGAAGGCTGTTGCACAGCACACGCCTGCCGGCGCGTTAGCTGCCTCTTGCTGCCGTGCGAGACTTGCTGTTGAACTCGTGTACAGAAAGAAAAGGGCCACAGCAACCGTTGCACCTTGCATGTTGATAATCAAGATCCGATAATGTGAGTGGTCTTGAGAAGGTTTCTGACAGTTTGGAATGCAGCTCCTATCATAGGGGAGTACGTTAAAGCCTAAACCCTAAACCCTAAACCCTAAATCCTGAACCCCACAAGCGGGATGGGGGGAGTACGTTGTTCGAGCGCCCGCCCTCATTCCATGGAGGGAGGCGGGGAGATGCGCTTGAACCTGCGGGAGGTCCTACTGAACCCATATGCGGGCAAACCATGGGGAACCCCAAACTGCCACAAGGGGTACCTTAATGGGGTGATTATTATAAGGAGATCCTACTATTTGGAGTCCATATTTGGGTCCCTTATTTTCGTAAACCCCACATGGAAACGCCCAAAGCAGGCACCCATAACAGTTTTGGGAAATCCCATGATTCGCGGAGGGTGGGTTGCCATGCAGCTGCTGTGGTTTGGTGGAGTTCCGGATGGTTGCTCTGTGGTGCAAACTATGTCAGCATGTGCATGGCACTGGTGCCCAGTGCCCGCACCCGACCGAGGTATGGAACCCCTACGTGGAAAGGGTGCCGATCTTCCGACTAAAAGGCGGGAGCTTGGGGTGACAGGGTACGTGGCTGCGAAAGGTCTTGCACATGTGACATATGTGGCATGCCTCATCTTCATCGCACTTACAGTAGCTTGAGGCCACACGCACGCCCTGTGCGGGGTCTCCGTCGTGCCGGGGACGCCGCAAATCCTCTCGGCAGACGCCAGCAGCCGAGTAAGGAATCTCCACGCAGAATCCGCTGCAGACCCTAAACCCTAGACCCTCAACCCTAAAACCCTAAAACCTTAAACATCCCTAAGCCCTAAGCCCTTGCACTTGGTTTCTTTTGTCTCCTCCGAGAGTTTGTTTTTTTGGTGGTGGTTAAGTGTTTAGGGTTTAGGGTTTAGGGGTGGTGGGGCAGTGTGTAATTTAGGGTTTAGGGTTTAGGGTTGAAGAGGTTTCAGGTGACTTCTCTGAGGTAAGGTCCCGAAGGTGTTGCCCGGTGCGAGTTTGAGGGTTACGGTCTTTGCGAGACTTTTGCAAGCGAGGAGTGGCCCGTCCCACTGTCTGTGCGAAGGGCCTAAACCCTAAATCCTAAACCCTAAACCCTAAACCCTAAACCCTAAACCCTAAACCCTAAACCCAAAACCCTAAACCCTAGCCCCTAAACCCTAAACCCTAAACCCTAAACCCGAAACCCGAAACCCTAAACCCTAAACCCGAGGTGGCGGGCACCTTCCGGCTCTGGGACATGCGCAGCTTCCGCTGTGCCAGGGCCCCGGCCTTCCCTTTTGCAGGCTGAGGTTTAGGGTTTAGGGTGTAGGGTTTAGGGTTTAGGGTTTAGGGTTTGAGGTTTAGGGTTTAGGGTTTGGGGTTTGGGGTTTAGGGTTTGGGGTTTAGGGTTCAAGCTGAGGCTAAAGGTGGGCCCAGGTCCCGTTTTAGAGTTTTCGAGGGTTAGGGTTGTTGAGGTTTAGGGGTTAACGGGTCCAGGGGTTTAGGGTTTAGGGTTTAGGGTTTAGGGTTTAGGGTTTAGGGTTTAGGGTTTAGAGTTTTACTGTAGGGTTTGCGGTGAAGGGCGCAGGTGTCCTTATGCAGACAAGCTCCCAGGGCCCTCCTTGATTTTTTCTTAGCTTCATGGAAAAGGTTATCCCCCTAAACCCTGAACCCTAAATCCTAAATCCTAAACCCTAAACCCTAAATCCTAAATCCTAAACTCTAAACCCTGAACCCTAAACCCTAAACCCTACACCCCAAACTTTGGGATGTCGGGCACAGGTGCAGTCGTTTGGTGGCAATGCGCCAGGGCCTTAACCCTTTCTTCTGGCGTGTCGACTCGGAGGCCCTACTTGGAGGTTCATGGGTGATTAGTGAGTTGCAAGTTTAGGGTGTAGGGTTTAGGGTTTAGGGTTAAGGGTTTAGGGTTAAGGGTTTAGGGTTTAAGGTTTAGGGTTTAGGGGAGTTTAACTTTAGCGATATCTATTTGCGAACTTATCTTTTGGGTATTTGCAACCCGAATTACGTACCCATGAACCTCCAAGTATTGTGGGCAGCTTGATTCCCAGCGTATGAATATGTTCAGATTGGCATCGGCAGTGGAACACACGTTACCAGGGCAGCGAGCACAGCGCATGACATCAGTTGCCTGACCAGTGCATTGATGCCAGGACCACCTTGAACGACCTGAACACCTTTTGCGTCATGTGGCTTGGGCTTGATCCAAGGGTTCTCTGTGCCCTCGCGTACGTCCAGACCGAAACCCTAAGCTTCTAGGCACCTGAACCCTGAACCCTACAAGCCGAAACCTCCCCTCACCTAAACCCCCCTCCTTATCCTCCACCCCCCCCTCCTCCGGCCACCCACCCCCCTTCACCACCAAAAGCTCTCTACCTCCCCCAAACTTGCCCCCAAACCCCTCCATGCTGAAGGCCTCCACACCACCGACTGGCAGCGGGTGCGAGCCGGGCTGGGGACCCCGGAATGCCAACATTAGGTGCTCTTTTCGGTTTTCTTACTTCGGGTTAGGGTTTTGGGGTTTAGCCTTGTTTCAGGTCTAAGACTTCCGCAAGGCCTGGGATCTAAAGTCTAGGTCTAGGTTTGAGGAGGGATCCCGGAGCTCTGCAAAAGCAAAGGTCATTCTTCATGACTACATGGACGAGTGGGGCGGCGAGAGTGTAACCGATACAGGCTGGTGCCCGTTTCGCTGCGTGCTGCCAGGGTATGTAGCCAGTGAGGCACCGGAACCCCAAACCCTAAACCATAGAAACCCTTAGCCAAAACCCACACTCAATCCCTAAACCCTAAAGCCTAAACCCTAAACCCTAACCCTCAACCCGAAACCCTAAGCCCAAACTGCCCGCCCCCAGTAGGCCCCCCAAGCCCTGGAAGGTGGGGTGACGGATGCCTTGTACAACCCAAACGCTGGCGAGTTCTACACGGTTCAGACCTTGGTTCTCGCCAATTGAGTGGGTTTAGGGTTTAGGGTTTAGGGTTTAGGGTTTAGGGTTTAGGGTTTAGGATTTAGGGTTCAGGGTTCAGGGTTTAGGGTTTAGGATGGTTTAGGGTTCAGCCGTAAACCCTAAACCCAAAAGCCCTAAGGCCCAAAACCCACACTTGCAGCTGCCAGGGTCCACGTTGCATCGGAACACTTGAGGCTCCGCCTAGTGTAACCCAGGTTTCAGGGAGTAGAGGGGAGTGGTGGCTGCCGTTCACTTCTCTACTGGGTTTCGGAGTAACGTTAACACTTGTTTTGGTTCTGGGTTCCTCTTATAGCTGCTTATACCCCAAAAGTATATACTATTTTTACCAGGGTCTATTTTTAAGCAGGGTCTATGCATTGAAGCCACCGCAAGGGCCAGAGAGTGATCGCAGGTCAGCAAGCAGACGGTAAAGGCCTGGAACGCGAATACAGGACCCTCTTGCAAGGCAGCTTCTGGTGAAGCGTTATGGCCAGGCCTAGGATTCGGTGAATTTGTAGTGTACATAATATGCAACATGTATAGACATACATATGAATAACTAACTAACTAACTAACTAACTAACTAACTAACTGACCAAACAAATAAATAGACAAATAAATAAACAGATAAATGAGCAAATCAATAAATGAATATGTACATACACGTATTTCGCACCATATACTACGAAATACATATGTATATATCATGTGACTATCTTACCACGGCAAGGCCTCCCATTCCTGTTGTTCACCTGCGTGCTCGGGCGGCAGGAGTCCTCTACAAGGTTCTTCGAGACATCACGCAGGACGCTGAAGACTGAAGCTTGCTGTTGCGGCCAGAAGTATGAAGTTTGACCCCAGGCCCTCAACACCCCTAAACCCTAAACCCTAAACCCTAAACCCTAAGCCCTAAGCCCTAAACCCTAAACCCTAAACCCTAAACCCTAAACCCTAAACCCTAAACCCTAAACCCTAAACCCTAAACCCTAAACCCTAGCCCTAAACCCTAAACCCTAAACCCCAAATCCTAAATCCTAAACCCCTAAACCCTGAAACGTCCCGACACACTGCCAGGATGAGATCACCGCAGCCTGCATTGCGGACAACGGGCGCAAGATCTACCTGGGTGATGCCAAGGGGCGAGCTGCAGCCTGAGAACGTGGGAGAGTCCAGAAACCCCTAAGGGTGTGGAAGGGGTTAGGGTTCAGGGTTTAGGGTTTAGGGTTTAGGGTTTAGGGTTTACGGTTTAGGGTTTAGGGTTCAGGGCCTACCTTAACCCAAACCCTAAAGGCCCTAAACCTTGAGCCCCTGAAGCCCAAAGGCCCCAAACCCGAAAGCCTTTGAGACTCTGAGTGGTCGACCTGACAGGATCAGGCGTCTGCCTCTGCACATTCTTATGTTCGTGGTATTACGCTTACTCTTACTCTTGTTCTGGCTCTTTCTCTTGTTTTTGCTCTTGTTCTTACTCTTTCTCCCCGGAACGTGAGGTGCAATCGCACGGTCTCAACAATGGCGTTGTGCTCAGCGTCTTCGACCAACATCCGACGGACCGTGGGGAGCATCTAGCCTAGAACGTCCAGAACTGCAACACCACTTTTTTCAGTCCAGATTGCGCCCTGTCCGCCTTGCAGGACATTTCCTGCCTGGACATTTGGAAGGCGCTGGTTGTCCAGCTCATGCTGTGTACCCTAAATCCCCCTAAACTCGCACCTGGCAAGCCACTAACCTCGCACTTGGCTCTGCATCTGTTCAGCCGCGCAGGCCCTCTGCGCGAAATCGGGATTATAGACCCCCTATTATAATCCCTATTCTTTTTTTGCTGCTAGTCTGTCATGCACCCACGGGCATCTGACAATGAGACGAAAGCTGTGACTGCGTCTTAGCAGAAGCGAGAGATAAACACAAAATGAATTCAACCAGTCGCAGGGGAAAGCTCAAAACCGGGAAGGGTGCTCCAATCAGGGGTAATTAATGCTGCACTTGGGCGGCGGCAGCTGCGGGCAGCCCGAATCCCAACTCTAAACCCTAAACCCTAAACCCTAAACCCTAAACCCTAAACCCTAAACCCTAAACCCTAAACCCTAAACCCTGAACCCAAAACCCAAACCCCTATACCCCAAATCCCTGGCGGCAGGGCACGAACAAGCTCTTCTCATCCTCCTGGGATGGCACTGCTGCTGCCCGAATACAGGGCTCGGAAGAATTACTATTAGGGTTTAGGGTTTAGGGTTTAGGATTTGGGGTTTAGGGTTTAGGGTTTAGGTGTAAATATACTGTGGTAATCCCAAAAACCCCTTTTTAATTCTCAAGGTGCCTATATTACTGTTTGACCTTTGGGTATGTCCATGTACTTGCCCAAATTGTTTCGGTCTTCCAAACAAAGCGGGTGCCCTTAATATACCCCCAAAATCGTTTTTTCCTGATTACAGGAACCTTCAAAAGGGTACCCCTATTTTCGGAAAACCCCCAAATAGAGGCTCCCCTTGAACTCCCTCCAAATCTTAAGAATCCTGCAGGGAGCCCCCCGAAACACGACCCCAGAGACTTGGTAAAACCGTCACGCGAGCTTAGCTTGGGATATTTGTCCGGCAAGCTTGAGTCCTCGATTGATGTCCTTGAGGAACCCCCCCGTTGGCCCCCCCCCCCCCCCCTTTCCCTTACTGAAGCCCCTCAGTCTCAAGCCCCATCCCCTACCCACCCTAAACTCTCACAAACCCGAAGCCCCAAACCCCAAGCCCTAAATCCTGCACGCTAAACCCTCAATCCCAAACGCCTAAAGCCTACAGCCTAAAGCCTAAACCCTAAGCCCTAGACCCTAAACCCTAGACCCTAAACCCTAAACCCTAAACCCTAAACCCTAAACCCGAAACCCGAAACCCGAAACCCCTAAATCCCAAAGGTCAAGATTCACACAGACGAGGGCTCAAGACCGCCACAGCTGAAGGCTCCACCTTTTGGCGCGGTTCGGGTTTTGGGCTTTAGGGAGACTTGTGTGTAGGGTTTAGGGTTTAGGGTTTAGGGTTTAGGGTTTAGGGTTTAGGGTGTAGGGTTTAGGGTTTAGGTTTTAGAGTCTCGGGTTTAGGGTCTAGAGCCCGGCAAACGGGCTTAAGTGTAGGGCTTATTCTTCAGTGTTCTTCTGGGCTCTCTGTGTGTAGGGTTCCGCAGGGGGCGCATCAGCTTTGTTGTTTCTGCATCTGCATTATAAACCCACACTCTTTCACTCCACCCGTGATTCTCCAAAACAGCCCCCATGCTGACATGCTCTCTCAAAAGCCCCTTGCCTTTCTGAACCCTAAGCCCTAAACTCTAAGCCCTGGGCCCTAATCCCCAAACCCAAAGAGAAGGCATTGTTAAAAACCGTGGAAGATCGGATGGACACCCTAATGCGTGAACCATTGTGACCATGAATGGTAACCGTGCCACTCCTATCTGTGTGGCTCTACGTTCAGTCAGCTTCGTGAACTTTAGCATTACAAAACATGCGCCTTAAACCCTAAACCCTAAACCCTAAATCCTAAGCCCTAAACCCGAAACCCTGAACCCTAAACCCTAAACCCTACTACCTACATGCTTTTGATGAGTCGAAGCAGAAGTGCCTAGCATGACTTTTTTTTCGAGTGTGCAGAGAGGCTGGCTTTCGACCAATTTCTTTGTGAAGCGCAACCCTTGTAAGTTAACTCACCGACATGTGAACCCTAAACCCCAAACCCCAAACCCCAAACCCCAAACCCCAAACCCCAAACCCCAAACCCCAAACCCCAAACCCCAAACCCCAAACCCCAAACCCTAAACCCTAAACCCTAAACCCTAAGCCCTAAACCCTAAACCCTAAACCCAGGAACTACTAGATTCATTCCCGAGCCCTGCGAACCAGGCAGAGTTCAAGAACCACCGGGACGGGGTGACATGCCGGGCGCCTACTTGAACATTGAAGCTTCCCATGTCAGCTGCCAAGATGCCCACAGCCCCTAACCCCTAAACCCTAAACCCTAAACCCTAAACCCTAAACCCTAAACCCCAAATCCTAAACCCTAAACCCTAAGCCCCTTAGTCCCCTAAGAATTCCAGCGCTCCCAAGCCCGACTCTGACCTTAGGAAGCTCCCTGGGGCTCAGCCCTCTTCCATTAGGGTTTAGGGTTTAGGGTTTAGGGTTAGGGTTTAGGGTTTAGGGTTTAGGGTTTAGGGTTTAGGCTTTAGGCTTTAGGGTTGCTCTGAGGGGGGCCGAAGCCTTCAGAACCCTGCATTCTAAGCCCTAAGCCCTAAACCCAAACCCTAAACACTGAATCCCAAGAAAAAGCTCTAGACCCTGAACCCTAAGCCCGACATACTCAACCCTGACTCCTAAACCCCGAACCTTGAACCCCCTGAACCCTAAACCCTAAACCCGAAACCCTAAACCCTAAACCCTAAGCTCCAAAGTTCAGCCTGAAAGACAGCCTCCACTCGAGGCCTTGCCGCCTCCGAGGAGCTTCGAGAGGGGTTTCGGATTTGCGGGGTTTAGGGTTTAGGGTGTTAGGGTTTAGGGTTTAGGGTTTCGGGGGTTTGGGGTTTGTGGTTTGGGGTTTGTGGTTGTAGGGTTTTAGGGGTTTTAGGGCTGTAGGGTTTTTAGGGTTTGAGGGTTTGAGGGTTTTAGGGTTTCGGGTTTAGGGTTCAGGGTTTCAGGGCCCACGGTTGAGGGCTTTAAAGTTTAGGTTCAGGGCTCAGGGGTACTTGTAGGGGTTAGGTGTAGGTTGTAGGGATTTCAGGGTTTAGAGATTTGGGGTTTTAGAAGCTTTGTCGGGTTTTGGGTAGGCGGCTTGAGGTTTTGAGGGCTTAGGGTTTGTAGGGCTTTTGGGATGTTTGAGGGCTTCGGGTTTAGGGTGGCTTTTGCTATTCCTTGGTGTGAGGGCAGTTTGCCAGTTTCCGGAGCTAGGCCCTAAACCGCGAACTCTCAAACTCCAAATCCCAAACCCTTAAACGCCCAAACCCTAAGGCACAAACCCTGAACCCTAAACCCTAAACCCTAAACCCTAATTAAACCCTAAACCCTAAACCCTAAACCCTCAACCCTCAACCCTCAACCCTCAACCCTCAACCCTAAACCCTAAACCCTAAACCCTAAACCCTAAACCCTAAACCCTAAACCCTAAACCCTAAACCCTAAACCCGGGCGTTTAGGATGCTCTAGGGCTATACGGATGGTTGAGGGTTCAGGGTTTCAGGTCAAGCCTCTTGTTTCATGCGAGTTCTGCGCGGAAATCCCTGCTTGGCGAGGAGTTGCTTCTACTTGCCAGCGGAAGTACGGACATGCAGGCCATGCAAACCCTAAACCCTAAACCCTAAACCCCAAACCCCAAACCCTAAACCCTAAACCCTAAACCCTAAACCCTAAACCCTAAACCCTAAACCCTAAACCCAGGCGTCTAGCATGCTCCCGACATGGAGATGCGCACTTCGGTGTTTCGCTGAACGTGGCAAGTTCCGAGGTTCGGCTAGTAGCAAGTCTAGATACACATTATATAAAACAATCTATACAAATATATATATATATATATATATATATGTATATAAATAGATATATATATATATATGTATATATAAATATATATATATATATATGTAGATGGGTATATATGTATTATGTGTTTTGTATAGTACAATCTATATATAATAAAATACCATATAATACAATGTAATATAATGCAATATGTATATATATATATATATAGATATATAATTTATATAGTCTGTACGTATATTACATAATTTGGATATGCTTCCGCGCTGTCCGAGCCGACAGGTGGTCCTCTACGACCTCAAGACGATGAAGTTTGAAACGGTGCCGCCCCCAGGAACCCGAGCTCAGGCTGCCAAGATCCCCAAACCCCCAACCCAGCATTTAGGGTTTAGGGTTTAGGGCTAGGGTTTAGGGTTTAGGGTTTAGGGTTTGGGGTTTAGGGTTTAGGGTTGAGGGTTTAGGGTTTAGGGTTTACTTGGAAGCCCTTTGACTTAGTAAGTAGGGTTAGTAAGGGTGGGGTTATGGGGAATAGTGTAGAGGGGATGTTTAGTACACTTGTTATGTCAAAAGAGCTTCCAATTGAACCTTTCCATCACATACGTATTTCGACCTGTAACTCATGCGTGAGCCTTGTGCACGAATTTGTGAGCATTGGGCAAGAATCCTTGGATCGCGGGCATCTGGGCATTGCGCAAGCTTTCGTGGGCATTGCTTTTTGGTCAGAATTTCGTGCGCATTGTGCGAAGCAAAATTTCGTGGGCATTGTGTCAAAAATGTCGTGGGTATTGTGCCAGAAATTCGTGGGCATTGGGCCAAGAGCTCGTGGGCATTGTGCAGAATGTTCGTGGTCATTGTGCAGAATTTCGTGGGCATTGTGCCAAACTGTCGTGGGTGTTGTGCCAAAAGCTCGTGGCCGCAAGGCAGGTCAGCGGTCAAAAACCAAACCTGTTGGTTTGGGTTTAGGGTTTAGGGTTTGTGGCCCCCCTCGAAACCCTCGAGAGAAAGGATGGGTGGGAAGTGGGAGTTTAGGGCGCTTGCGCGAAAACCTTAAAAGGAGAAAAGTTGGGTGGATGCCTGCGCAAGCGGGGGGTGGGGAGAATAAACCGCCCCAACCTTTCTCCTTGTGGGGGTCTTCGTGCCCGGTACGAGGACACACGAAACATGGGGTTAAACAGTTTTTTTTTCATATTTTTTTTATGGCTGTTCGTCTCGCGCGGGCCGATTGAATGGTTCGAGGGTGGGGTGGACCACTCCATGACAGAGTGAAGTTGGGGGACTGGGCTTGCTGATGAAAAATACAGACTTAGGGTTTTAGGGCGCGCCTACCTAAGCAAGCTCCTTATTTGAGAAAAAATTCAGACTTTGTATTCCTTAGTGTTTTGGGGTTCTCTGGGTAGGTGGAATTTTTGCTAGAGTCGAAACAGCGGCTCTACCAGAGACTGCTCGACCGGGAGCTGCTAAACCCTAAACCCTAAACCCAAACCCCAAACCCTAACCCCTAAACCCTAAACCCTAAACCCTAAACCCTAAACCCTAAACCCTAAACCTTAAACCCTAAACCCTAAACCCTAAACCCTAAACCCCTAAACCCTAAACCCTAAACCCGAAACCCGAAACCCGAAACCCTAAACCCTAAACCCCAAACCCCAAACCCTAAAGCAGCCCACGACCTCGGCCAGGCTGAAGGCCCTGAACCCTGAACCCTTGGAGCCGAGGCGCTTTCACGCTTTCAGCACGTCATCGCGGGGGCCCTGGCAAAGTCGAGGATTCGGGTTTAGGGTTTGGGGTTTAGGGTTTAGGGTTTGGGGTTTAGGGTTTAGGGTATAGGGTTAAAAGTTTAGGGTTTAGTGTTTGCATTTGGGGCTTAGGTCTCTATTTTTGTGCTAAAGATCGGGTTGTTCTTGGCGGGGTTCTGCGCAGGGCCTCAGAGGAAGGTCTTGAGAGGCCCTGAAGCCCTAAGCAATATCTAGGTAAGCCCTATCCTCCACCCTAAGCCCTAAACTAAAAAGCCCTAAGCCCTAAACCCCAAAGGCCCAAGCTTCGAGCCATGTGCACAGCTCCCTGAGCTATGGTCCGCTTTTGGGGGTACTCCTGCCTGTCATAGTGCGGGCACTTCAGCCGGGCATCCTGGAAAGGATCTGATTCCCCTCAACCCTAAACCCGAAACTCTTAGCCCTAAACCCTACCCCCCCGCCCCCGCCATCCCCAATTAAGCATGTGATTCGTCACCAGCGTGTCTCTTCATGTTGGGCCCCCAAAAGAGCACATAGGCAAAAAGTAGGATAGGGATATCCCATATAAACCCCCCTTAGAATGAAGCCCAATAAGGGTAGGGATATCCCTATAGAATGCTTATGCTTATGTCCTTTTTTTGGTTTAGGGTTCAGGGTTTAGGGTTTAGGGTTTAGGGTTTAGGGTTTAGGGTTGAGGCGGCGGTCGACTTCCTGCCGAAGCGGTGCCTGCTGGTCGTCGCCGATCAGGAGAGCAGGGCCTTGCCTGACCCAGAATGAGGGGCCGGTGCCCCTTAGCCCTAAACCCAACAGCCCTAAACCCGAAACCCGAAACCCGAAACCCGACACCCGAAACCCTAAACCCTAAACCCTAAACCCTAAACCCCAAACCCCAAACCCTAAACCCTAAACCCGAACAAATTTCTGGCACTCTCAAACCTTACCCTCCAGGCTCCGAGATCCTTCGGGGAGGGTCTCAGGGCCGATGTCCTGTGGGCTTTAACCCAGTTAGAACCGTATTGGGGTAATTAAAGGCTTATAAGTGGGTTATAAGTTATAAGTGTAGTTATCATTGGATATTAAGTACCACGAACCTCCAAGCAGACCCTGAGCCCCTGGACCCTGAGCCCCTCCTTGCGCCAGGGAGGGCACGTCTCTTTCTGGCGGGTGCGGCCCCATCCCGAGCAGTGGACCTGCACCTTTCACTTCAGGCGACGGGGAACTGGCACAGGGTTTGCGGAATCAAGGGTGTTGACTTATTGACGGGCGTTAAAGGGCTTAGGGGTTGTTTACGGGGTTTTTGCAGTGCACGCGTTGGCTAAGAATCTCACTGAAGTTATTCGACCCCACCAATTCTTAAGCCTTAAGCCTTCACGGCTATGAAGTGACCAGACCCGAATGTGGAACTTCTTCAAGCACTGCTGCAGACGTTTCGGTTAGGGTGTGGGGTTTAGGGTTTAGGGTTTAGGGTTTAGGGTTTAGGGTTTAGGGTTTAGGGTTTAGGGTTTAGGGTGGAGGGTTTAGGGTTTAGGGTTTAGGGTTTAGGGTTTAGGGTTGTAGGGTGTAGGTTGTAGGGTAGTTTAGCACAGCAGTCTGAGCCCTGAGCTGAGGCCCAAAGCCCGACGTCCTAAAACCCCGAACCGCCGGAGCAGGAATCTGCCCATCATCAACGGCTCACTGCCCAGCGTCACTGAGGCGCTGTAAGGGTTTAGGGTTTAGGGTTAGGGTTTAGGGTTTAGGGTTTAGGGTTTAGGGTTTAGGGTTTGGGGTTTGGGGTTTGGGGTTTGGGGTTTGGGGTTTTGGGTTAAGGGTTTAGGGTTAGGGTTTAGGGTTCAGGGTTTATAGTATTGACTTTGCATTGAAGTACGATGGGTAGACGCATACAGCTGGAGGAAGCTTCACACCCGCACCCATGGGAGCTTTAAGCAGATGCGAGGGACAAAATTCCACGAAGCATCAAGCTAAAGCGAGAAACTTAGAACCCCAAGAAGCCCTCAAACCCTCAAACCCTGAAACCCACAACCCCAGAACCCCTAAAGGTTGACGTTGAACCCCAAAGCCAGAAGCCCTAAAGCCTGACAACCCCCCCCTCCCCCCCAAACAAAACGCCCCTCACCCTAAACCCTAAACCCCAAACCCCACAATCCAAGCCTGAAAAGTCTGTGCAGGTGCCCCCGGCAGCACTGGCGGTGCCTGTCCGGAGCCCGATTCGGAACCCGAAACCCTAAACCCTAAACCCTAAATCCTCAACCCTAAACCCTAAACCCTCAACCCTCAACCCTAAACCCTCAACCCTAAACCCTAGACGTTTTTTAGGTTCAGGCATCTGGCTGCAGGCATGCCCAGGAGTGCCGTGATCCTTTGCTTTTTGTGCAGACAGCGCTTGAGGATGGTTGGGTCTCCCGCATCCCTTTCAGACCCCAAAGAGCCTAGCCCAATACGGTTTAGGGTTTAGGGTTTGGGGTTTAGGGTTTAGGTTCAGGGTTTAGGGTTTAGGGTTTAGGGTTTAGGGCTTAGGAATAAAGGAAAAATGCTCAATCAGATTCAGGGTCCCTTTTTCTGAAGGTATGTTCCTTCATTAAGGGGTATTGGGCTCTCTGGGACCCTGCAGTAGAGCGCCAGTGCCACGCTCAGGTCGCAGCACTGCGTGTCTCCGAGGAGCAGCTCACGCGACCGTCCGAGGATCGGGATCTCGTTTAGGGTTTCGGGTTTAGGGTTTAGGGCTTAGGGTTTAGGGCTTAGGGCGTAGGGTTTAGGGCTTACAACACTAGCCGCAAAGTATTCATAAAGCGATGTGGGTAGTTCCCAAAATAGCGGTACCCCGTTTTTCCCTCAAGCAGAATAGTTTCCCCCAAAGAGTATTCCCCCCCGAAGGGCACCCCCTATTCTGAAGCCCCCCCCATGTCGCAGCACGGATGATGCGTGAAGCCCGAAGTGGCAATCCTTAGGGTTTAGGGTGATTGAGGGTTTAGGGTTTAAGGTTTGGGGTTTTAGGGTTTAGGGTTAGGGTTTAGGCTGTAGGGTTTAGGGACGGAGCGCGAGGGGAAAGAAGCTGCGTGGGCACTCGCTTTGTTAAACTCTATGGGGTATTTCCCCCAAAATAGGGGGTGCCTTTTATACCCCAATGTAGAATAGAATCTCCTTGGAGGGGCCCCAAATAGGGTACCCTCCACCTTCGGAAGCCTCCCACTTTCTACACACATCACATATCGTGTGGTGATGTCTCTAAGTTATGGTCCCTTTGAGGGATCCTTATTTTTAGACGGCCCCTAATGTTAGGGTACATAGGATGGCTGTATTCACTATCTGCTATCGAGGAGCACAAAACGGGGGTCTCTGGCATCCCGCTTTCGTGGGAGGAGTCCGCTGAAGACGAAGTCCTCGAGCCCCCTCTTATCTACACGGCCGATGCCAAAGGCGGGCGAGAGCTACTAGCTGAGGGTTTAAGGGTTTAGGTTTGATTGGGTTTAGGGCTTAGGGTCTAGGGTTTAGGGTTGCTACAGTATACAGGTCGCCAAGTTGCTCACATTTTTGAGAGGAAACAGGTTCTCCACGATGGAGGGGCTCACAGGTTGACATCGCAACCCTCTCCTCGTTGCGGTGAGCATCTCCGTGGCAGCACTTGGGTCAGTAACTGGGGATTGCTTACTCAGCTCCTTCAGCTCATCCTCGGGTCATCTGCTGACACCGAGACACCGAGTCACGGCGTTTCACTCAAGCCCAGGCGTATTGCGCGTGTGGACCGTGTCGCAGATGCGTTCCGGCCGCAAAGAGAGGAGTATCCGAAGTCAGTTGCGTGTGAAGATGCAGGGCAGCCCATGGCCTCAAGTAGAGCTGTACTTATAACTGTACTTTTCACCACTTTTCACCATCATTAGGGCACTTAAGGGGCTTTTTTGTGGGTTGTCAGTACAGTTATCAATGGGTTAATAGGGTTAATAAGTACCATGAACCTCCAGGTAGTAGTATTCCCTTATGGTCCCTTTGTAGTCCCCCAAAGCCCCTGCTCTGATCATTAAGGCTCCCATAAGTACCACGAACCTCCAAGCTGTATCAGTGCCATCTTGTCCTCAGGTGCAAGAAAAGGGGTGTCCATGCTGTTGACGTCAAGGCCCAGCGTGTAGGGTTTGGGGTTTAGGGTTTAGGGTTTTAGTGTTTAGGGTTTGGGGTAAACGGGTCTTAGGGCTCATAGGACCCCAAAGCCTGAATCCGGTTTAGGTTTTAGGGTTGAGGGTTGCGGGTTTATTGGTGACTTGGGTGTGTTACGGGTGGAGGCTCAATAGTACACTGCCGACAGACACCCGCAGCAGACGAAGAATGACAGCCAAATTGTCTTACAAGCTTACTGGCTCTTTGCATGTTGAGCAAAGTGCTGGCGCTACCGGTTCATTTGCAGAGTTACATCCGCTAACGAACGAGACCCAACCCTTGAAAACAATGCTATGCGGGTGGTTGTCAAAATGATGGTCCCTTCTTGTATCCCTATTATCATACGGCACCTAATATTTACGGTACCCCAAACGGGATCATAATTTTGACAACCTCCCATGTAGAACTTGAGGGGAATGGCTCCCTCAGGGTTTAGGGTTTAGGGTTTAGGGTTTAGGGTTTAGGGTTTAGGGTCTCGGGCCTAAGCCCCGAACGGCATGCTACTCTTGCAGTTGCTCCAAGCCTCGACGCTCCCGCAGCCCAAAACCCTCTACTGCCCCGAAACCCTAACCCTAAACCCTAAGCCCTAAGCCCTAAACCCTAAACCCTAAACCCTAAACCCTAAGCCCCTAAACCCCAAACCCTAGACCCAAAACCCTAGACCCAGAACCTAAACCCTATTCCCGAAACCCCATGCCCGAAAACCCTAAACCCTAAACCTTAAACCCCAAAGTGCCGCCAAGAAGCAGGACCTCTTCGAGCAGCAGCGCTCGGGTAAGATGGTAGCCACCAGCCCTCCGCGGGGCGGCAGCAGTAAGGCGGGGTGGTCAGACCCCAAACAAGAGGTTTAGGGTTTAGGGTTTAGGGTTCAGGGTTTAGGGTTTAGGGTTTAGGGGGGGGGGGGGGGGTGCTCTGGTTTCTAAAACGGGGAAAGAGAGCTGCCCAAAGTCTAGCCCTCAGCGCTTGACCCTTAAATCTCGCAACCCCAAACCCCGGAAGTCCGATCTGCATGGTTTCAAGATGCAAGCACAGCCCTTCGGGCGTTTGAGGGCCCAGTTCTCCTGAAATCCACCAACCCTGAGCCGCCAGATCATTTGCTCTAAGCCTTAAACCCTGAGTTGAGAACCCTAGATCCTTAATTCTAAGCCCTAAGCCCTTCATTTTTCGAAGCCCCCCAACCCGTGAGCCTTGCCCTAAGCCTTGTAGACCTTAACGCCTACGATCTCCCTCTAAGCCGTGGGCATATGTTCGGGAGGGTTTGGAGGCCAACCGAATGGTTGTAGGGTGTGGGGTTTAGGGTTTGGGGTTTGCGGTTTGGCGCTTAAGGTGTAGAATGGCGCAACAATTGCAGCGGGAAAGCCAATGCCATGCTTCAGGGTTCCATGGCCAAAAGCTTGCAGAGTTTTGGGTCGGCCCGAGTTGCCTTCCATTTCACTCTGCTCGACCCGTGATCAGAAGCAGCAAGCAAGTGCACCGCATTGTACTGCAAGGAGGTCGGGGTCGGATTTTAGTATAAACCCTGATTTCGTGGGATGTGGGGTCCATGTTGGTCCGCCGGAGCCGTATCAGGGTAGGATCCTTGCAAGTAGGCTTCAACCTTCAACCCTCCGGCTCACACTCACACCCTAAATGCTGCGGGTTTAGGGTTTGGGGCTTGGGGTTTAGGGTTACCCTGATGCTTCATGTGCCTGCCAGGGCCGCACAATGGGGCAGAGGCGCGGTGACATGCGGGGGGTTCGTCTACAGCATTGAAACCCTAAACCCCAAACCCGAAACCCTGAACCCTAAACCCTAAACCCCAAACCCTGAACCCTTAACCCTAAACCCTAAACCCCAAACCCTAAACCTCCAGCTCTGCTGGGGTCAACGGTGCATGCCCTTATATGGGCTGGCTTGCTAGGAGAAAGGGAGTCATTGCAGAAAAAAGAACCCACCAAACTTTCAACCTTTAGGCCCCTCATTCAACCCATGAACCCGGGGATCCCTCGCCGCCCCAACCCCAATACCCCAGATTCCCTCCCCGGCACTCAACCTTATGGGGGGGGAGTAAAAAAACTCGGGGTACCTTATTGGGGTCCTTAGTATAAGGGAACCCTACTTTTTGGGGACTCTATTCGGGGGTCCCTTCTTGTCGCAAACCCCCATATGTAAGCCCCCCCGCGCCCAACCCTCAACTCTAGTACCGCAATCCCCGAAGACCCTACTACCCGAAACCCTCGACCTTACAGAAAGGACCCCGAAAAACCCTACATGCCCAACACAAAAACACCCTGGAACCCTATAGCGCACTCCATCCTAAACCCTAAACCCTAAACCCTAGACCCCAAACCCTAAACCCTAAACCCTAAACCCTAAACCCTAAACCCTAAACCCCAAATCCCAAACCCCAAGCCCCAAACCCTAAACCCCAAACCCCAAACCCTAAACCCTAAACCCTAAACCGTAAAACCGAAGGCAAGTTCGGAACTCGAACACCCCGCAGCCAGGGCCACAGTACCAGGGGGCTGGGCCTCTGTCCCGTAAACCTGTGGTTTAGGGTTTAGGGTTTAGGTTTAGGGTTTAGGGTTGAGGGTTTAGGGTTTAGGGTTGAGGGTTTAGGGTTTAGGGGACATCTTTGCCCTAGATCGTTGACTTGGCACCCCCGTTCACCCCTTAAAAGACTCCAAGACTCTTCAGATGCTTTGCTTCACTGAGGGTGGCATCACCACCCCTGGGAAGGACGCTTTCGTCTCAGACGTCGCCCGGGGGCCCGAAACCGGCACTGCCGTGTTTGGCCTACGTAGCCCTAAATCCTAAATCCTAAATCCGAATCCTAAATCCTAAACCCTAAACCCCAAAACCTAAACCCTACACCTCAAACCCCAAGGTTGGAGGGTTCAGGGGGCCGTCGTTCATAATACAACCTTGGGCAACGTGTCATCTCTGAGCATTCGGACGCTTTATTGCAAGGAACCTTGTCACCAGTGCAGCAGCCCGAATCCCTTAACCCTAAACCCTAAACCCTAAACCCTAAACCCTAAACCCTAAACCCTAAACCCTAAACCCTAATCATGTCCTTCGAATCTTCTCTGATGGACTCAGGGCCCGCTGCTTGCTTGAGGGGTTTAGGGTTTCGGGTTCAGCCTGAGCTGGGCTTAGGATCGAGGGAGTCATTGGGCAGGGTTTAGGGTTTTGGGTTTAGGGTTTAGGGTTTTTGGGTTTAGGGTTTAGGGTTTAGGGTTAGTGTTTAGGGTTTAGGGGTTAGGGTCCAGGGTTTAGGGTCTAGGGTCTAGGGTTTAGGTAGGGTTTGGGGGGGCGGGGGGGGTGGGCTTTGTGGGTCATGGCTGCGTTCTGCCCTCCGATTTATCCTCTAGATGCCGAAACCATCATCCCCGTGAGTTCACTCCTGAACCTGTGGGGTTTAGGGTTTAGGGTTTAGGTTGCTGCGCCATTGCAAGGATGGGAAACACCGCCTTCTTGACAGGCATTGGGGCAAGCAGGGAGGAAAGAGTCTCGCTCCTTCAGGGCACGACACGCGCAAGGCTTTCTTTGACAAGCCCTTGCTTGTTACCCTAAACCCTAAACTCCTGCTATTCATGTTGAAGCAATCCAGGACCCTAGTCGCCCTGAACCCTGAACCTATAGACCCCCAACCCTCAGTTAAGGTGAGGTAAAATGCATACATGAGATGTGTGTGTTATATATATATATAGTATATATGTATATATGTATGTATGTATATATATATATATATATCTACATATATATATATATTTATGTATATTCATGTATGCGTACACATACACATATGTATCTACATGCGTATATATTTACACACATATCTCTATACACATATTGCCATAATTCTAATGACTCGCCCATGTCTAGGAAATACGTATCCCCATGCTGAGTAGTCGTGCCCAGGATCTCACGGGTAGTCGCGGGCCGATTCCTCTGCCCCAGCCAGGCGTGGACATCGAGTCCGAGGCAGAGCCCAAGTCCGGTTATCCCAACAGTCCAGAACCAAGAGTTGGGTTTAGGGTTTAGGGTTTAGGGTTTAGGGTTTAGGGTTTAGGGTTTAGGGTTTAGGGTTTAGGGTTTAGGGTTTAGGGTTTAGGGTTTAGGGCTTAGGGTTCAGGGTTTAGGGTTTAGGGTTCAGGGTAACCCTGTATGGGGGGGTGGGGGTCCTCTAAATTATAACCCCTTTTTTGGTTCCGAACATGTATACTAGGGAGCTATTTTGTTCAGCTACTCGCAGAAGGACATTAATCTGGAGAGGTTGTGAGGTGCGGCTCGTCTCAAGGTTTCGAGGGTTTTCCCTTTTCGTGGCTTTTCCTTGCGTCCCCTGCTGCCCTCAGAAGTAGGAGGGGCTTGTTCACGAGCTCCACCAGTAGGAGTGTTGTTTGTTTGTTCGGTTCTGGCGCCGTCCTTGTCTATAAGGTTCCTTATGAACCTTGGGTGGGTGGAAGTTTGGGTGTTCCTTTGTGCAGCATCGGCTAGCAAGGTCTGGCCCCGCCCATGACGGCTTCCTCAGGCGACCGGCTCAGATGGTTTGATGGGAGGACGCGGCCTCTTTACTGTACTCTTCTAGGGGCGGGGGGGGGCGGGGTACTCGAGTGTTTTCGGGGTCTGCTCAGGGGCCTATTGTGGGATATGCCCAATCCTGGCATTCTGCTTTTGGCCAGTCTCGCGGCAGTGAATGCAACCAGTCACCGGCATTGACTATGTCTCGATACCCTGCACACACTCCTTGGAGGCCCTTTTGACTTGGTAAGTAGGGTTAGTAGGGGGGGGGGGGGGGTGTAGGGGGGTTAAAACCCGATACCCTAAGCCCCAAAACCCTAAAACCCAATACCCTAAAACCCAATACCCCAAGCCCAATACCCTAGGCCCTAAACCCTAAAACCCAATACCCTAAAACCCAATATCCTAAAACCCAATACCCTAAGCCCTAAACCCTAAAATCCCTAAGCCCTCTTGGTCTGCCCAGGCATGCGTTCCTGGACGGTGTCGCAGCAAGATGCCGAGGCAAAGACACCCGAACCCGAAACTTGCCATTTGTTTGAGCTCAAGCCCTAAACCCTAGACCCTAGACCCTAGACCCTAAACCCTAAACCCTAAACCCTAAACCCTTAACCCTAAACCCTTAACCCTAAACTCTAAACCCTAAACTCTAAACTCTAAACCCTAAACCCTAAACCCTAAACCCTGAACCCTAAACCCTAAACCCTAAACCCTAAACCCTAAACCCTAAACCCTAAACCCTAAACCCTAACCCTAAACCCTAAAACCTAAACCCAAATAGACTTCGGACTGCCCCAACCCGTGGGTGCCTCTTTTTTTTGGGTTCAAGTGCCTTCTCTTTGAATTGAAATTGCCCTCCGATGAGCCCAATAGGGGTTTAGGGTTTAGGTTCAGGGTTTAGGAACCCTAGGGTTTCGAGTTTAGGGTTTAGGGCTAGGGTTCAGGGTTCAGGCACTTGAACCCAAAAAAAGAGGCACCCACGGGTTGGGGCAGTCCGAAGTCTATTTGGGTTTAGGTTTTAGGGTTTAGGGTTAGGGTTTAGGGTTTAGGGTTTAGGGTTTAGGGTTTAGGGTTTAGGGTTTAGGGTTTAGGGTTTAGGGTTTAGGTTTAGGGTTTAGGGTTTAGGGTTTAGGGTTTAGGGTTTAGGGTTTGTATTAGGGTTTAGGGTTTAGGGTTTAGGGGTTAGGGTTTAGGGTTTAGGGTGTTTAACGTTTAGGGTTTAGGGTTTAGGAACGCGAGCCCACCAGCGCAAGTCCTCGGATCTGCCAGCAGCGTCCTAGTTTTAAACTTTTGAGTTTAGATACGGTGGTGTGGCCAAAGCCATTGCTGTCACCCTAAACCCTAAACCCTAAACCCATCTAAAACCCTGAACCCCAAACCATGCCGTATGACCCCGAAATGGCCTTAATTATGGGGCGAACCGGGGGAGGGGGGGGGGGGGGGAGTATAGAGGGGGGCAGTAGGGGAAGAACCTGCAAAAACCATCCTTGCTGGTGGCAGGTGCAGCTTCTTTACGAGGAGACGCTTTGACGAACGCTGCATCACGCAACGCCCGTTGACGTACATCCTGTGCTCGAGCATCTCTGCCAGGAGGAAGCTCATGATGACTCCGGCATCATCAGCTTGTCAGCCTGCAAGGAGTGTTCTTAGACATGGGCAGTAGTTGGAAGCTCCTTTGACTTAGGAAGTCAACCCAGTATCTCATAGCAACCGTATGATAATCCCTAAAACCCGCCTTCTTACTAAGTCAAAAGGGCAACCAGAAACTTCTAAACCCGAAGCCCTGATGTTGCACTCTGCTTAGTAGGGGCCCGGTCTAGAAGGTCAAGTATGCAGCGCTATTCGTGTGATCGCTTGGGGGTGGTCGGTGGGATCCCCTGTGAAGTCATGTCTTCCGGGCGTGTCAGAAAACTCCTTTTAAACTCAGATAAACCCATCCCTTTCAACACCATGCAAGATTCCGGGAGGGTTTGAATGGGGACAATAGCAGCTTCGACTGTTCAAGGCAGAGGGGGGGGGCGCATACTGAAGAGGGTGCAACCTGAAAAACCCTAAGCCCAAAAGCCCAAGAGCCACAAACCCTAAACCCGAAACCCTGAACCCTAAACCCCTTTGAAGCCGAACCCCACATAGTAGCCCCAAGCCCTAAGCCCTGAGCCCTCAGCCCTAAACCCCCTAAACCCTAAACCCTAAACCCTAAACCACCCGCTGAGCCAGGTACCTCACAGAAGGCCCACGGGCCCTGGTGAGTACGGGGCTAGATCGCCGGGTCCGGACATGGAGCGCCTCGGGCGCAGCCAGATTTTCAGGTCTACTGTTATGGATTTTGAAGGTGGTTTTGGGGGGTTTAGCGTGTTTTGTTTCGTTTCGCGATTTTAGGGTTTTGAAGTGTCTAGGATTTTCAGAGCTTTTCGGGTTTGAAAACATACTGTTTCGGGTTTGGGGCGTTTCGGTTTGGGGCTGAGGGGTTTATAGCAGGTTTGGGGGTCCAACCACACTCAGCAAGCTCTGGGCACTTTAGCCTTCAGCTTCCCAGCTGATTCTTCACTAAACCCTAAACCCTAAACCCTAAACCCTAAACCCTAAACCCTAAACCCTAAACCCTAAACCCTAAACCCTAAACCCTAAACCCTAAACCCTAAACCCTAAACCTAAACCCTAAACCCACAATGTCCACCCCGTCCCCTGCCCTCCCTTCCCGGCCGCCGAAGCCGAGCCAGGCTTGCAGCTGGATCGACTGGGGACCCTGATGCAAAGTCGGGCCCCTGAGCCCCCCCAAAGCAGCCTCAATAGCTTACAAACCCTAAGCCCTAAGCCCTAAGCCCTAAACCCTAAACCCTAAACCCTAAACCCTAAACCCTAATCTCACAAACCTGGACTTGCGCCCATCTCCTGCTTCTTGTCCACGCAGGGGAGAGGGGAGGGAGGGAGAGGGGAGGGGAGGGAGAGGGGAGGGTTTCGGGCCCCCCCCACGAAGCGACCAACCCCTGAGGGCCCAAAGCATCCCGAAGTCTATGAGCCTTGCAGCGGACACAGGGCCGAGAGAGGGGGAGAGAGGGCTGAATTAGATTCCTTGAAGATGAGCCTTTTCAGGCTTTCGAATGTCGAGCTTTAGGATGCTTTAGGATGTATGGTTGAGGCTTAGGGTAAGGGAAAGTTCTCAGAAGGCTCCCGAAAGCCTCTTTGAGCACCTTAAGCAAAGCTCTCCAGCGTGGATGTCGGGCCATTGCAGGTCACGACCGGCATTTCCGCTTTCCTCATGACCCCGTGTCCACCCAGGAGGCGCTCGGTTCTGGGAAACATTAGTTAAGGTTTAGGAGGGCTTCAGGAGGCTTAGGGGCATTTGGGGTGTAGGAAGTCTAGGAGATGATTTTCAGAATTTCTACAGCAAGGGCTTCGCGCTAGCGGTGACTTGTCGTCCGTGGAGCATCATGGTCCTTTACGATTGACGGAGGCTGCTTTGCTCGATGATGCTTTCGTGTTCAGGGAAACCCTAGTGCCGGCGAGACAGGGAGACCATATTGCCTGTATGACCGAGCTGCCGCAAAACGGAGCTGTGAGCTCTACAGTGTCCTTCTTATCCCTTGCCGACGCCCTTTTGCATCACAGAGCCATGACGCGGAGATTCTGCTCCCGGAAGGCCGCGCTTCGGCGCGAGATTTTTTCCAGGTGCAGAATCTCCACATCCTGATCTGGGAGCGGGGGGGGAGATCCTGGCCTTGTGGTGCCATAGAACATTACTTGCTGAATGCCCAGATCCAGGCTACCAATGAGGCTCTTGCCACCATTCCAGGCGACAGGAACTGTGACACCCGTGCACAGTGTTGGGGTGTCGAATTTAGTCGTTCTGGTCTAGAGTCTCATTGGAGGAGAGATTCTTATTCTTTGTTAGGGGACCCTAACGCCTAAACTCCAGGTTGCAGGGGTTCCAGGCGCTTGAGACCTGTGCACGTGGGCGTGAGTGGGAAGACTCATCTGAGGGTTGTTCAAAACCCCCCTTGTCTTCGAGTTATACTGGGGCGACCATCAGATGATGGAAATGAGGGTCTGCGAAAGTCCGCGATGGGCCCGCGAAAGACAAATCACGCTTTCGCGAAGTTTTGTGTTAGTACTGTTTGTGCTGAAACTAATACGGGTGTAAAATAGGCTCCGCGAAAGTCCGCGATGGGCCCGCGAAAGACAAATTGCTTTTCGCGAAGAATGGTCGTTTTGCCGTGAAGCAATTTCGAACAACCGTCATCTACAGATGTGAAGCGTCCCTAAGCCCTAAACCCTAAACCCTAAGCCTTACAGGCCCCTTTTCGGAGGCGTGGAAGCCATCACCCAAGTATTATATAACACCAAACGCACATGACATAATGCCTTACGGTAAAGTAGAGTATAGTCAATCATGATACAGTTTGGTACAGTATAGTGTGGCAACATAGCCTTATAGTATATTATGGGATCACATCTTGAACCTAATCACTAGAAACCCTAAGCTCAGAAGCCTATAGGCAGGGTCTGTATTGTTGATCTTTGGTAAGTGTATGTCTGGTTGCCTGTACATTCAGGGGAGTGCTTTTGTTGGGGTGTCCGTTTGAGGGATGCCAACACCCCCTACCATGTATGTGCCGTCCAGGCGAAGTTTCAGGACGCCTCCGATTTGCTTCAGAGGCACCTGCTCACATGGTAGGGTTTAAGAGAGGGGAACCTGAAACCTAAACCCTGAAGCCTTCAGCCCTAGAAAAGGTGAGTCTTGGGTGTGCAGGGTTTAGGGTTTAGGGTTTAGGGTTTAGGGATTCGGGGCATGTCGAGTCTCATGTTAGCAGCTGTACTCGTCATGGTAGCTAGCTCAAAAGACATGCTGCCGCCACGTCCTTTTTTGGGTTTAGGGTTTAGGATTTAGGGTTTGGGGTTTAGGGTCTAGGGTTGCGGACACGCAGGCTTCCAACACAGCATAGGTTGACCGAGACCACCTCTGGCGCACGGCCGCATGTAGCGGCATCAGCATGACACCCCTTAGCTAACCCTAACCCCAAACCCTAAGCCCTAAGCCCTAAACCCTAAACCCTAAACCCTAAACCCTAAACCCTAAACCCTAAACCCTAAACCCTAAACCCTAAAACCCTAAACCCTAAAAACCCTAAACCCCAAACCCTAAACCCTAAACCCCACGCCCGATGTGCCCATGCCCGACACACGATGACCAAGGCTGGGGCCCATGGACCAGCGGCTGCGTCTGCCCCCCATCAACGGGGCAAGTGGCGCCAGGCCCCTTGGGTTTAGGGTTTAGGGTTTAGGGTTTAGGGTTGAGGCTTTAGGGTTGAGGGTTGCGGGTTGAGGGTTGAGGGTTCAGGGTTGAGGGTTTGGGGTTTGAGGGTTTCGGGTTGAGGGTTTATAAGTTGAGGGTTGAGGGTTTAGTGTGCAGGGTTGAGGGTTTGGGGTTTGAGGGTTGGGGGTTTGGGGTCGAGGGTTCAGGGTTTTGAGAGCTTCTTGTGTAGGGTTTCTACCTGCGAGCTTTTGCGTCTCCGAGTATTCCCGGCATGCTTCATGCGTCCGGAACTCGCCCGTCTCTGCAGCGACAAGGCACGCAGCACGGCATCCAGCATACAGCATACAGCATGTACCTATATCCCCCTTGGGAATCATTTTTTGTATGTTTGTTCATATAAAACCCAAGAGGATGTTAAAAGTCATATTTTTATTCAGGTTCTAAGGGGAGTATAGGTACCATGTACACGGCTACTGCTTACAGGCATGTTGCAATGATCTGCCGGCTCATCGGCGTACAGCCCCTAAGGCCCTAAGACCCCGACGGCCCCGAACCGAAACCCGATGTAAGCACTCGAATCCACCCTTGCAGACCCCCGCAGTCTCAGAGGGCGTAGTAATTTAGGGGTCGGAATACTTGCGAGTAGTATTCCTCTATGGTCCCTTTGAAGTTCTACTAGAACAACCCCCCCCCCCCCCCCCCCCAAAAAAAAAAAAAAAAAAAAAAACCTATTCTAACTATTCAGGCCCCTGTAGTAGCCATGGGGGACTCGGAGACCAACTCGGAGGTAGCGGACCTGCCGAAGACCAAGCGGAGTTCCCAGTACGTCGCGGCGAACTTCATCACCTCCTACAGCCGCGAAATTGAAGAGCTGTTCCCTGGATGTGAAGCCCAAAGAGCCCCCCTTTGTTACCCCTTACTGGTAGTTAAGGAAGATTGGGTTTAGGGTTTAGGGGTTAGGGTTTAGGCCACCTTAAATCGTATGAAGTGTACCTAAAGAAATTGAGGGTCTATTCCTTATTTAAGGGGTATTGGGCTCTTTGGGAAGATTGGGTTTCGGAACAATCGAGTGGTAGGAGGTGGCATGTCTGTTGTTCAGATTCGTTTCGGTTCCGTTGAGTGCGTTTTCCAGAGTCTTTGCGGGCGGCTCTTTGTTCATTTCCTGGGGGTTCAGTTCCGTTGCAATTCGCTAAAACCCGGAAACCCTGACCCTGGAGTTCCTGTTAGCTACCTCCGGGTGCCGGTCGGAAAGGGCCAAGGTTTGTATGAGAGAGGTCCCAGGGGTGTTGCAGGATGATGTGGTGTGTGGGAAGGCGTCTAGGAGGTCGTAAAGAGTTGCGGCCCAAGGGGTGGAGGAGTTCGCAGACGCCTGGTGAACTGCACGAGAGAGACCCGCGGCAGCTGAATGAGTACACTTTTCACTTTTTATGGGATACTACAATCCCCTATTCGAACTGAAAGTGTACACTTTTTTTAAGGGCTGAGCAACTCAGCAACTAAGTACCTTAAACAGCTCCTGGTTCGGGAATATTATGCTGATTGTGGTAGTGATCGATGCGTACTGCACGTGCCGGGACATCGATGCCAGAGCCGCTGACGCAGATGCCTGTCTGCCAAGAGTTCTTGCGTAAGTAGGGAGCGTTGTGTGTGTAGGTGTGTAGGTGTGTAGGTGTGTAGGTAGGTGTGTAGGTGTGTAGGTGTGTGGGTGTGGGAGTATCACTTACCCAGAGCGCAATACGAAACATAGGTATGTATGTCTGTATGTATGTGTACAACTAAAACCGAAAATGATACATGTGTGTATGTGAACATACAATGATATGTAAAAGGTAGTATGCAACAGGTCATGATATACAATCTTGAATATTTAGTTCAACATGAAACATATAGTGTACACGGTGTATGAGATGACTTTATACAAGAACCACATACAGCAACACAATTTACAACAACCCATATATAATTTTAAATATCTAGTATATACAATATAATGATATAATGATAGAATGATATAATGATATCATGATATATATATATATATGTGAGAACATACATTTTTTGTGTATTGTATCGTATAGCACGTGGTATAAGAATAAGGAACTGTAGTCGTGATTTTATGACATGTGTCGAGCCCCGAAACTGCCGCGTGAGTAGCAGCCGACTACTGATCTTCAAGCGGCGCTTCTAGGGTTTGGGGTTTAGGGCTTAAGGCATAGGGTTTAGGGTTTAGGGCTTAGGGTTTAGGGTTTAGGGTTTAGGGGGGCGGGGGGGGGGGGGGGGGGGAGCCGCCTTGAATCTAATCGCAGGATGACTCTGCGGCCTTTGCCGTCATCTCGAACACGTGCCTTGTGTTGTACACGCTGGAGCTTGGTGGTTTCGGGCTGGTGCATGGCCCTGCGATGTGCCGGGATTGGATGATTGTTTTGGACTCTGTCATTGTGCTGTGTGGGTACATTGAGCTCATCCTCGAAAGTATCAGCACAAGCGAGGAGATCCAAAAACTCAGCATCCTTCGCGCGCTGCGGCTTGTTCGGATCTTCCGCTTGATGAGGCTCCTGCGACGCATCCGTGCGTTGAGGGAACTTTACAAGCTCGTCACAATGATGGCTACATGTTTGAAGACACTGCTGTGGTCTTTCTTTTTCTGCTTCATCGTGATGACTATCTGGGCCATGCTTTTGGTCGAAGTCGTGAATCCACTGGTGCTCAAAATGAACCTGGAGACAACTGAGTTCGCAGACTGCGATTGGTGTCAGCAAGCGACATCCTCGGTGATGTATGCAAACCTGCTCCTTTTTCAGACAGTCATTGCCGGTGATAGTTGGGGAAGAATGGCCAATCCGCTCATCCGCGCGTACCCAGTGGCTGTGCGTAGTTTTGCCATGTTCGGTTGTTCTTGTCTGGCTCCAGTTGCTAAGCCCCAAACTCCCAAACCATTCCAAAACAGTTGGTTTCCTGTGCTGCAGCATGGTAGCAAGTGAATCGGAAGATTTGCCTGATGCCCATTGGTGGCCTTTTGTCATTCTGCAGCAGCAACAGGAGTAAAAGTACATAGTTGCATCAGCTGATTGACATAAGGAGACTGCTCTGATCTTCATCGGCTCTTCTCTGACTCTCGTGTTTGGCGTGCTCAACATGATCGTGGCCACTTGGAAGGGACCTTATCAAATCAATGACATGCCTTGAACCTCCCAGCGCCCGAACCCTAAACGAGCTGTAAGCTCCCCAAACCCTAAACCCTCAGCCCTAAACCCCCAACCTCAAATCAGGCGGTGGTGGTGGACACGTTTGCCGAAGCTCGAGCTCACGACATCTTGAATTTGGCCGAGGAGATGGAGCAGGATCTGGAAAGTGACACAAAGCCTCTTGACTGGGCCCCCTAGGTACGATAAGGGGGAGCCTGAAAAGGGAACCCTTCTTAACCCTCTTCTGGTTCTCTCTTAAACAGGGACCTTATTCAGAGGGTCTATATCCCCAAGGGCCCCCCTAGCCCTATCCCCTAGGGCAGGCCCATTGGGATGTTTTAACGACTCAGGCTATTTTTTTTTTGCAATGTTTTTTGTTTTCTCCCTCCTGGGTTTAAGCGAATCAGGCCATTTAGGAATATGGTTCAGAGGCGTTAGAGGCCCAACGCGACCCTTGGCTTGGGGGTTGGGCAGAACTTCGAGCGTCTAGATGGGCTGCAGGGGCTTCAGTCTTTGTTCATGTACTGTATATTTATCGTTGTAGAATTCTGAAGCAAGATATATATGTATATACATGTATGTATATTATCATTCTTATTCTTATTCTTAGTCTTAGTCTTAGTCTGAGTCTGAGTCTGAGTCTGAGTCTTAGTCTCAGTCTCAGTCTTCGTCTTATTAGTGTTGTTGTTCTTCTTCTTCTTATGAATTTAGCAAGTATTCTTGTGCTGCTTTTGGGTTTTGGTTTTTGTGTCCAAGTGCTACTCAGAGACTCAGGTTCCTGTCGAAGCTTTTCGAGCGCATCTTGGGATCAATGCGGGGTCGATCCTAGCCGCTCTACCTTTCAGGGCTTTCCAGGGTTTCGGGTTTAGGGTTTAGGGTTGAGGGTTTAGGGTTGAGGGTTAGGGGTATAGGGTTGAGGGTCTAGGGTTGTGCTGCCATGGTCCGGGCCTTTAAGACCTAGTGCTGGTCCTTGAACGGTGGAGTCAGGGAACCCTAAATCCTAAACCCTAAACCCTAAACCCTAAACCCTAAACCCTAAACCCTAAACCCTGGATGATTTAGCTTAAATCATTTAAGGGATCCGATGGAATCTCAACCCTAAGGCGTCTTCAGTGAAGCCCTAGGCTCTAGCAAGAGTGCGCTGTGCGGATACGCGCACCTTTGCAAGAACCTATTAGGTCCTGAGCCGTATGGCTTCACGGTCTAGGAAGGAGGGTTGTGACCCCAAACCCTCAACCCTCAACCCTCAACCCTCAACCCTCAACCCTCAACCCTCAACCCTCAACCCTCAACCCTAAACCCCAAACCGAAGGCATCGACACAGACCGCAGCGGTCGTGTCACTCTGGATGAGCTCATTGAGGGGGCGAGGAAAGATCCCGAGTTCCAGAGTCGTCTAAGGGCAGCGCCCTCGGACTGCGGGTTTAGGGTCTAGGGTTTAGGGTTTTAAACGTTTAGGGTCCCAACCCTACAACCTAAACCCTACCAGCAGAAGGGGGGGGGGGGTTCCGCAAAACACTTAGCTACTTCAAGTCCATTTATTATTATTTGTGTGTATGTATCTGTATATATATATGTATTATATAAATATAAATATAAATATAAAAATAAATAAATAAATAAATAAATAAATAAATATATATATATATATATATGGTACCCCCCCCCCCAGTGACCTGCCCTTTTTCGCCTTGTCTCAAGTCACCCAGCTGCACTGCAAGCAAACTCGGTGTGCAATATAGCGTATTTCCTAGGGCGTAGACTAAAATACAACTAAAATCGCATACACGAGACAGTAGAAAAACCAAAAATACCAAAACCAAAAAAACCAAAAAACCAAAACCAAAAAAACCAAAAAACCAAAACCAAAAAAACCAAAAAAACAAAACCAAAAAAACCAAAAATACCAAAAAAACCAATTTTCCGGGACTCTCAGGAAATCCCTATGAGGCTTCTCCAAGAGTCCCGGAAAATTGTTTTTTTTGGTATTTTTGTTTTTTTGGTTTTGTTTTTTTTGGTTTTTTTGGTTTTGGTTTTTTTAGTTTTTTTGGTTTTGGTATTTTGGCTTTTTGGTTCGCCTTCACGGTCACGAGGCAATAACTACGCATTTTTAAGTGTGCTTATGCTAATTGTGCTTTTCAGAAATAGTATACAAGTGGTCTTTCTAGTGCTTCAGAACTATTTGTTTCGTTATTATGCAAGTAGAGCCGCTAGTGTTTAGTGCATCTTTTGGTTGTACTCAAGTGTAGTAGACCTTATTCAGCCATTACTTGGTGCTCTGGTAGCTCAATTCGCATGGATAATATTTGCCTGGTAAATGCGATTAATTCTCTAGAAGCAGCATTTGCAATACTTGTCTTGAGAAAAAGCATTTATTGCTTAGAATTGTTTGCTTAAAAAGTGACTCCTACTCAAGCCAGCATTGGAAGAATCTACATTTTGAATCTGAAGCGGACAATGCTGTTTTTAGATGTTTAGATCAGTGTTTTTCTATGCAAATTGTGCGTTTCAAGGGCAATTAATGTTTTGTTGAGCAACTAATTTATTTATACAGTTGTGTTTGTACGAGGCAAAGTATTAATCAAATCGTGAAACATGTTTCTTGGTTCTATGCGAATTTAGCTACTAGAGTAATTATTAAGCAAAGAGCCCAATTTGACTCAAGTGAATACTATTTAAAGGAGCATACTCAACCAAGATACGAAATAAACACCATTCTCAACCAAAAAATGGCAAAGTGTGCGTTTAAAGTGCAAATACTGTATTTATACAATTGTGTTTGTACTAGGCAAAGTATGCTCTCTGAAAAGTCCACTGAAATACCTTATGTTTACATATTCATGAATCGTTTTCATTTTTGAAATAATCATTTTATGCGAATTTAGCTACTAGAGTAATTATTAAGCAAATAGCCCAATTTGACTCAAGTGAATACCATTTAAAGGACCATACTCAACCAAAATACGAAAGAAGCACCATATTCAACCAACATATGGCAAAGTGTGGTTTAAAGGGCAAATAGTGCTTTGTTGAGCAACTAATGCATTGAAACAGTTGTGTTTATACCAGGCAAAGTATTATTGAAGTACTATCTGCAAAGTCAAATGAAACACCTTATGTTTACATATTCATGAAACAATTTTTTTGAAGTATTCATTCTATGCGAATTTAACTACTAGAGGAATTCTTAAGCAAATAGCCCAATTTGACTCAAGTGAATACTATTTAAAGGACCATACTTAACCAAATACGAAATAAACACTTGCGGAAATGGAAACGGTTCTACCTACATAACAATGAGACAAAGATTGCTGAAGTATTCACTAAAGACCACTTATATACTATGTCTGAAAAGCACAATTTGCATGAGCAAGCTAAAAAATGCACAATAATGGAAATAGAAGCGGTTCTACTTACATAACAATGAAACAAAGATGTCTGAAGTATTCAATAAAGACCACATATATACTATGCCTGAAAAGCGCAACTTGCACAATCAGGCTTTAAAAAATCCACAAGAATCCTAGAAAAGTACGTAGTGAAGGCCATACACAAGCAAATTCACAAATACATAAAAACATCCAAAAGCGCAAGCTTTTCAGGAGAATCTCTGGTAAAGTTTGGATTATAGGGTTTTGGGGTATTCCTGGACGGGTCTGTGAGGTGGGTGTCCCAGTAACTGTCCTTCATTACCCGGTGATTAACTACGCGACTTTTGGGCCTTCTTTGTTATTTTTTTGTTAAAAAGGCCTAAAAAGGCCTAAAAAGGGTAGGTCGCTGGGGGGGGGGGGGGTAGTATATATATATATATATTTATATTGATCATGATATTGGTTTTGCGTGTTTTTTTTGGTGTGGGGTCCGAGTATCGTATTGTGAGGGCCCCTATGTTTGGACATGCATGTGGGGTTGAGAGTTTGAGGCTCAGAGTTTGGGGTTTTGGGGTGTATACCGTTTAGAGATTTCAGGGTTCAGGGGCTAGGGCACTTAGTTTCGGGCCGGTAGGATGTATGACAAGTCCGGGCTTGTTGTCAAGAGGACTGTAGGGCTTGGAGGTCGTGGGCATCATCGGCGGCAAGCTTGGCCTTTTTTTCAAAGTGGGGGTTCATGTAAATCGAAGACCCTTGGAAGGAAGGGTATTACATGAACAATAGCAATGACTTGGGATGTCCCCCCCGTAACAGTCCTTACTAGGGGTTTTAGTACCCCCTACCATAATCCCCGTTAAGGACTGCTAGTATAAGGGAGGACACCCCAAGCAATCACACCCCAGCCATCGCAACAGCAATAGCAACGACCATGACGGCGAATATCGAGATCCAAGAGTGGTCCATGGAATGCTTTCAGGGGCCGAGGGCGCCCCTACAGTAGAATTCAAGAAATGCCCGTTAGGGTGTAGGGTTTTAGGGTTTAGGGTTTAGGGTTTAGGGTTTAGGGTTTAGGGTTGAGGGTCTCCGCATGCGATCAGAAAGCCCCATGAGAACTGCAGCGAATTTTGCCTTTGCTTGCCTCTGAGGTGATGGACATCGACGAGGCACCACCTCGTTAGGGGCAATCCCATGCCGGCATCGGGTTCAGGGTTCAGGGTTCAGGGTTCAGGGTTCAGGGTTCAGGGTTCAGGGTTCAGGGTTTAGGGTTTAGGGTTTAGGGTTTAGGGTTTAGGGTTTAGGGTTTAGGGTTTAGGGTTTAGGGTTTAGGGTTTAGGGTTTAGGGTTTAGGGTTCCGAGGGCCACAAAGAAGCTCGGAGCAGTGGGGTCTAAGGATGAAGCTGGAGGCGCACGAGGCCCCCAGAAGACTCCCAAAGGCTTGAGAGCATGTGGCCCTTATATGGAGTCCCAGCCTCAACCCTCAACCCCTCCACCCTCAACCCTCCACCCTAAACCCTAAACCCTAAACCCTAAACCCTAAACCCTAAACCCTAAACCCTAAACCCTAAACCCAAAGCCCTAAACCCCTGAGCCCCCCCATGAAAGGTGGACCTCCAGCAGCTCTTTGAAATGATCGACGTGAATGGGGAGGGCTCCATTGAAGCCAGTGACCCTTGATTGACCTAAGAGTTGGTTCTTTAGGGTTTAGGGTTTAGGGTTTAGGGTTTAGGGTTTGGGGAAAGCAGGCCGGTTTTGGGGTTTGCGGGCTTCTTGGGGCTCAGTTGTTCTGAGCTCGTGAGGTTTAGTCAAATAGGGTCGACCTGAAACAGCCCACCCAAAACAGCTACCCCCTCCCTCCCCTCCCCCCCCCGGCCTCCCCCCCCCCCAAAAGGACCACCTTCAATTCTATGCTAGCTCTTTTTACGTAGAGATTTTCTTCGTACTTGGATGCATGCGTAGACAAGAACGCAGGAGTTGGCGCTGGGGACACCATTGTAGATTGCCACCACAGCAGACCTTAGGATTCGTAGGGCCGCAGAAGACACAAAGCCCCTACCGTCGATCTGCAGGATGATGGTCATCCTCTAGGTAGGCCCCTGGGACATTTTCCATTTTCCTTTGTGTTGGTTTTAAGAGGATCATATTCAGGAATATGTTTCAGAGGGTTTTACTGGGCCATCCTAGTCCTGCATCCACATGTAAACAGCTACTCTAGGAGTGTTTTTTTATGGGTTTCGGTTTGGGGCTTATGCGCACCATAGACCCTAGACCCTGGACACTAGACCCTAGACCCTAAACCCGAAACCCTAAAACCTAAACCCTAAACCCTAATAAACCCTAAACCCCTTAACGGTTTGGGTCTTTAGGGCTTTTAGGGTTCCAAGACGCAGGACTTCATCTGGCCGCTTAGCCGATGGGTGCACGATTCGAAGACAGCTCCACGCTTCATCAAGTACAACATGCCGCCTGATCACCCTGGGGTTTAGGGTTTAGGGTTTAGGGTTTGGGGTTTAGGGTTTGGGGTTTAGGGTCTAGAGCGTTGCATGAGCAGTTGAGGGTTCAGGGTTTAGGGTTTGCGGTTTAGGTATTAGGGTTTATTCCAGACCGCTGGAATCTTGAAACCCTCAACCCCAAACTGCAAAGTCTCAACGAAGGCTGCGTACCATGGAGCAGCAAGAGGAGCTGTACCTTTTTGCAGAGCGCCAATTCGAGCAACTGTCGGAGCGCTGGGATGGGGAGAGAGGGGTTAGACTTGCTTAGACTGCGCCTTGCGCTGTAAGCCTAAACCCTGACCCCTTCAAGGTGTCTCCAGGAAGGACCTGGTCGTGTTGCTGGGGTTAGGGTCGAGATGGAGTTGAAAATGCTGGCAGGGACTTCCTTTTCGCACCTTGTATTTTTTGGCTACACTCAATGTGCCTGCTGGCTGTGACAGTTCTTTTCCTTTAAATGTTCGGGCTCGGGAGACGGGCATGGGCTCCTGGCTGACAGTGTGTTCGGTTACCCTAAACCCTAAACTTTTGAACCCTAAACCCTAAACCCTAAACCCTAAACCCTAAACCCTAAACCCTAAACCCTAAACCAAAACCCTAAACCCTAAACCCTAAACCCTAAACCCTAAACCCTAAACCCTAAACCCTAAACCCTAAACCCTAAACCCTAAACCCTAAACCCTAAACCCTAAACCTAAACCCTAAACCCTAAACCCTAAACCCTAAACCCTAAACCCTTAAACCCTAAAACCCTAAACCCTAAACCCTGTCTCGAAGGACAGCATCGGGAGCCTGAGGATGACTTTGGCGTCGAGCTCCAAGGATCCCGCCGCCATGTCTTCCATCGGCCCCTCCATGATCTCAGAAGGCGTCTCGGAAGGCGAAGGCCCGGAACCGGTGAGCCAGCGAAGTTTTTATTGATTTTTTTTTTTTTTTGGGGGGGGGGGGGAGGGGGGGGGGGGGGGGGGGGGAGGGGGGGGGGGGAGGGGGGGGGGGAGGGGGGGGGAGGGGGGGGGGGGGAGGGGGGGGGGGGGGGGGGGGGGGGGGGGGGAGGGCGAGGGGGGGGGGGGGGGAGGGGCGGGGGGAGGGGGGGGGGGGGGGGTGGGGAGGGGGGGGAGGGGGGGGGGGGAGAGGGGGGGGGGGGAGAGGGGGGGTGGAGGGGGCTTTAGGGTTTCGGGGAATGTAAGGTTGGCTGGAAAGCAAACTGTGAACGTTTGTATTACTATGACCGCGGCATAATTAAAACAATAATAGAAAGAGCCGCGGGAAAACACTTCGTTTATAAAATTCACTGTCTTCATACACAAGCTTATATTACAATGCAGTTCATGTTCTTCTCTTCGTAACAATACGAATACGGGCTAGTATTTAGCTCCTGAATGGACGGCTCTTGCAGGTGAATGATAAAGGGAAAAGAGCGGTGGACAAGAGGTGTCAGTTGTCAATCAATGGTTGTTACCTTCACCAGTTAGTATCTTATACTTGGAACTAGAGATTGAGTACCAAGAGTGAAGGGTTTCCAGAACTTGGTGAGCGTACCTTGACTATCAAGAAGCCCTATTGAATGATGAACAGGGTCTATGAACTGGGCTCAAGACAACCCTAAACCCTAAACCCTAAACCCTAAACCCTAAACCCTAAACCCTAAACCCTAAACCCTAGACCCTAAACCCTAAACCCTAAACCCTAAACCCGAAACCCTAAACCTGAAACCCTAAGCCCTAAACCCCCAGATCAACCATTAACAGGAGCTCTTGGAACTCCTGGAGGCTGCGAGATCAAATCGGAACCTCCGGATGCAGGCCTGTTTGTGAGGTGTGCGTGTGTGTGTGTCCTCTATGTGTGTGTGTGTGTGTGTGTGTGTGTGTGTTGTCGTTTTCTTTTTCACATGTCATAAAAAAAAACGGCTCAGGGGCAGGGGTAGGGGCAGTGGCGGGGGCAGGGCAGGGGGAGAGCGAGAGAGGGAGAGAGGGAGAGAGGGAGAGAGGGAGAGAGGGAGAGAGGGAGAGAGGGAGAGAGGGAGAGAGGGAGAGAGAGAGAGTTTCAGTCAAACACAAAGATCAGATGTGAGATAGGGGCATCAAGAGAAAGGCCGAAGGCCGGACATTATTTTCGATTGGGGCGTCCGTTCCCTCGTGGGGCCTGGGTCTTGTTAATAGCGGGGGGGGGGAGGGGGGGGGGGCACTTCGGTTGTTGGGAACGAACGCCTGCACTTTGAAGACATCTGAGATAGAGGCACAGTTAGGTACTTGATGGGCTGTCGCGGGTAAATTAGTGGGCGGGGCAGTGTTGAACACGCCCATTACCAAGATAGAGACCCCTGTGGGAGGCACCCAAGAGAGGCCCGGGGTGCATGCTTTTCTCGCGAGCAGGCCACACCTTGCGGAGCAAGTGGGGAGCATACATCACAAAATAGGGGGGAGGGGGGCCACTGACAACTCCACCGGTCCCACTCGCTTCCGTGTTTTTCCGAGAGGCCCTGATACAGCGGCGCCGGTAGTAGTGTTCCGAGAGACGCAGGATCGGGGCGCGCCTTGGCGCGGGGCTTGCCCCATGCCCCAAAGAAAGAAAGAAAGAGAGCGAGAGGGAGAGAGAGGGGGAGAGGGAGAGGGAAAGGGAAAGGGAGAGGGAGAGGGAGAGGGAAAGGGAGAGGGAGAGCGCAGAACAGGGGCACAGCCTCTTCAGGTTTGCACATGGGCGTGGGGGGGGGGTAGTGCCCCCGTCCGCTTTTGAAGGACACACTACAAAAACGCTGAAGAACAACCTAATTGTCGCGTGGCAGTTTTAGTTGCGGAACTCCATTTCGAGTCAAGAGTGCCGACGGTTGCAGTCATCGGGCGTGTTTGACACAAATGGAGAGGACACAAGAAGAAGAGGGAGAGAGAGAGAGCCCTAAACTCCAAACCCTAAACCCTAAACCCTAGACCCTCGACCCTCGACCCTCGACCCTAGACCCTAGACCCTAGACCCTAGACCCTCGACCCTACAGGCCCACAACCCCAAAGCCTACAGGCAACCCTGAACCCTACGAAGGACAGCTTGGCCTCCAAGCGAAGCCGAAGGAAGTCAAGGAGGTCTCGGAGGGCTCCGACACGCAGTCCGAGGTGCAGCGATGGCTCGCGGAGCCCAAGGCCATGGGCCACGGGGTTCTGGGCTTGAGGCAGCCTCGTAGTTTAGGATTTAGGGTTTAGGGTTTAGGGTTTAGGGTTTTGGGTTTCGGGCTTCGGGCTTAGAGCTTCGGGGTGGGAGATTGGGAGTTGGCAAGCCCATCTCGGATGTTCTTCTACTCGGCACTTGATCCACCCTGGCGTGCTCTGCATGCACTGAGGTGTGGCATCTTTTGTCGTAGATTCACTACCAATTGCTTAGGAACCCCCCCAAAACTTAGAGTCGCGACTTTAAACCCCAGCAAAAGAAACAGAATTCGCGCAGGCTCTAAGCCCCAAAACCCTAAACCCTAAACCCTAAACCCTAAACCCTAAACCCTAAACCCTAAACCCTAAACCCGAAACCCCTAACCCCTAAATCCTACACCCCCAAACCCCTAAACCCTTAACCCTAACCCCTAAACCCTAAACCCTAACCCCTAAACCACAATTCCCGCAGGCCTCGCTTGCTGAGCTTGCATCGCCTCCTTCCGAGACTGAACTGCCCGAGCAGCCAAAGCCCTCTCGCGGGAATGTGAGACACAAGGCGCGCCGGAAAGGGTTTAGGGTTCAGGGTTCAGGGTTTAGGGTTCTGGGTTCTGGGTTCTGGGTTTTGGGTTTACGGCTTTTTTGGTGCCGGCGGGAGCTGGTTGGGGTGCACGAAGTTGGTGCGGTTCCTGAGCATAGAATTCTTTGGTGCCTCACGATGCAAGTCTTGTGCTTGTGGAATGTGGAACCCGGAATAGGGTTTAGGGTTTAGGGTTTAGGGTTTAGAGTTTAGGGTTTAGGGATCCGAAACCCCAACTGTTCACACCCCGAACCCTGAACCCTCGACGGGGTCCGGTCTTAGCTACCCTAGATCCCCAGATGCCCAACAGCTACACCCCAAAGGCCTAAACCCTAAACCCTAAATGCCTAACCCTAAACCCTAAACCCTAAAAACCCTAAACACCCCAAAGGCCCTAAAGGCCCCAAAGTCCAGAGCCCAAGAACCCTCAACCTCCAGACCTCCAGAGGTGCCGGACCTGCCACTTTCTTCCGAGACAGCCACCGAGTTGGCGTTGGTGTTAGGGGGTTAGGACTTAGGGTTTAGGGTTTAGGGTTTAGGGTTTAGGACTTAGGGTTTAGGGTTTAGGGTTTGGGGTTTAGGGTTTAGGGTTTGGGGTTTAGGGTTAGGCACTTAGGGGGTTTAGGGGGGGGAGGTTCAAAACCTGGGGATGTAGGAGTTTTACCCTAAACCCTAGACCCCACAACCCGACAGGTCTGCGGCTTGAAGGCCTTAAGGTGCCTGTTCGTGCACACCCCTAAACCCTAAACCCTAAACCCTAAACCCTGAACCCTAAACCCTAAACCCTCAACCCTAGACCCTAAACCCTAAACCCTAAACCCTAAACCCTAAACCCTAAACCCTAAACCCTAAACCCACCCTTGCAGTGCAGCTGAGTTAAGGTTGTAAAGGAGCTGGAGGTCTTACTGAAGGCCTCCGAGATGCGACTGAGGACCTTAGGGTTTTGGAGTCTGCACGCAATAACCCTAAACCCTACACCCTAAACCCTAAACCCCAAACCCTAAACCCTAAACCCTAAACCCTGAACCCTGAACCCTGAACCCTAAACCCTAACCCTACGCCCTAAACCCTAAACCCTCAACCCGGACACTCTAGGAGGCAGAAGTCTCGTCCCTGCAGGAAGTACATCACGAAGCTGGAGGCAGCGGCTCGCTCAGCCTCGTCCCCCACCATTCCGGTCACGGACGCTGGTGGAGAGGATAGTGGCTCGGGCCCTTATGTCCCAGGGTTTAGGGTTTAGGGGTTAGGGTTTAGGGTTTAGGGTTTTAGGGCTAGGACCCGGAGTAGGCCCTTAATTCCATTTTTAAGGGTTGGGGGGTTCCCTTAGAATCTCCTTAAAACCAAAAAAAGGGGTACCCTTTTTATTCACTCCTGGGTCTAGGTGATCACCTGCGGCCGGAGCGGCCACAGCTGAGAGTTTCTCTCTCGAAGCTGAAGGCCCCCAACATCAAGCAATCGGACGTTTTCCGCTCGATGTACATGGGCAGGATCGCCAGTGACTTCCGGTCCCCCTTGACCGAGCAAACAGCCCAGGAGGTCGCAAAGTCTCACCTCCGCACGCTAAGTCATCCCGAGGAGCAGGTGTCCAAGCACTTCTCGATGCGGCGCAAGAAGCTGCTGCAGCTCATGAAGAACGAGGGAATCCATGACATCGGGGCGGCAGTCTAAGACTCTCCCCTCACAGGCGCCCCAAAGAAGCGCTTCTCTTCCACGTTGCGATTCCAAGCGAGGTTCAGGTTTCACGCCATCTTTCTCCAATACCAGAGGCGCCACAGCTCAACGCTGGCTTTCATGGCCCGATGTGAAGCCGTGAGCTGTAGTCAGAAACTTCCGTCCAGGCTTTTCATGTGAATGAACCAGTGCCACTATGGTAGGTGGGGAGTTCTGACTACAGCTCTTTTTGCCAACAAATGTCGGCCAACATCTGCCGTGAGTTTCCCGCGGGGCGTGCCCCACGCGTGTCACTGGCAAGTATTGCCAGGACATGCCATCACCATCAACAAGCATTATCCGTGTGAAAAGAGGCAGCACACACTGGGCAGTCCAAAGTGCCTTGAACTACACCTTAAACCCTGCACCCTAAACCCTGAAGCTCTAGGGCAGAAGCCGGAGGGAGGGAGGCTCTCCGAACACAACTTGTGGCCTCCTATCACACCCTTTCTGTGTAAGTACACATAAGTCACAAGTCTTGATGTTAGAAGCTACATGCCTCTAGGACGTCCTTGTCTGAAATCGTAAAGAAGCCACAAAGCCAAGCGGGGCTCGCGCTTGGTGGGCAGACAGCCTTCTTCACCTCGTGTTGCTCTGGCATCCGGGTTGAGCTCTACACTCGTTGCGGTTTGGGTTTCGGGTGTTCTCCACACACACACTACAATCTAGTCCATTATCTTCTGCACCATCCACCCTCAGCAGCTTCACCCCGCACATCTCTTTGACCCCAAAGTCCCCACGTTTGAACCCAGCGTTCCGCTTGGCACAGGAGTGCGCACGACATGCTCCTGTCCTTGAGCAGCGGGAAGACGAAGCCCAAGAGAAAGGCCAGCAGTGTCTGACAAGTTTAGGGTTTGGGGTTTAGGGTTTAGGGTCTTTAGGGTTGAGGGTTTAGGGTTTAGGGTGTTTAGGGTTTAGGGTTTAGGGTTTAGGGTTGAGGGTTTAGGGTTTAGGGTTTGGGGTGACAAGTGTGGGATGAGTTTCGGGTTTACATGCCGGGGCAGCTTCATATGGGGAGGGTTCTCGAGGGTTCTCATACTTTAGGGGTCTATAAGGGGATCCCCCAAACCCTAAACCCTAAACCCTAAACCCTAAACCCTAAACCCTAAACCCTAAACCCTAAACCCTAAACCCTAAACCCTAAACCCTAAACCTGAAACCCTACACCCTATTCTGCCATCTGTGCCAGGATGCGGAGATGGCGTGGCGAGTCACGGCGGAGCAGGTGTGCCAACAGACGGCCGCGCCTTTCGTCGCGGGAAGCGCCTTTTGGAACAGAGAGCCGGCTGAGCCTTCAGAATATTGGGCTCGGAACAAGTACTAACGATATTCCCTTACGGTCCCTTGAATAGCTATGCTATAATAGCCCCCCAAAACTATGTAAAATTATTTCGGCCCCTATGGTAAGCCTTTGTGGCCAAGTAGTGCTCTGCTTTCCAATTCCCCGATGGTCCACGCAGGTCATGCAGGATCCGGATGATGTCGAGGAGGAGATTTGAAGGGGAGGTTTAGGGTTCAGGGTTTAGGGTTATGTTAAAGTTTCTGGGGGCTCTTTCAATGTGCCCACGCGAGATTTTCGCAGTGGAGAGCCACAAGGCAGACTTTCCCACTTCGATCCCCCCGTGATATTTTAAAGCAAAGACTCGAAGAATGGGTTGGATCCCTCTTTGCAGGATGACTACCGCATGCTCTTCGAGCAAATGGAGCGTTTGCGGCCCAACGTTGCGGGGTCGGGTGGCGAGCTGTTCATGTAGTATCGGGGCCTTAAGGAATTAGAATAGGGAAAACTATTTAGTACTTATTCCTACCTCTATATTATCCAGGTTCTGCAAGGGGTCGCTTTGAGGGAGCTTCATGCTAAACCCTAAACCCTCAACCCTAAACCCTAAGCCCTAAGCCCTAACCCCTAAACCCTAAGCCCTAAGCCCTAAGCCCTATAAACCCTAAACCCTGAAGCCTAAGCCCTAGAACCCCAGAACCCTGAAAGGCAGCCCCTGAACGAAATTGACCCACTTGAGGTGAGAGCTTCGCCGGCGGACCATGCGCAAACGACCTGGACGGCAAGGACTGTCGGACATCCACTAAGCCTAAACCCCTGCGGAAACCTAAAGAACGGTCAAACCCCAGCGACCTCCACTTACTACACCCTAAACCCCTCACCCTAAACCCTTCAACCCTAAGCCCTAAATCCTAAATCCTAAACTCTAAACCCTAAAAGCCCTCCAACCCCCAAATCCTAAACCTTCTAGCCTCGACGCCAAATCCTAACTCCCCCGAACCCTACTCCCTAAGCCCCAAACCCTATACCCAAAATCTTAAACCCCAAAATTCCTCAAATTTCGGGTTTCGGGATTTGGGGTTTAGGGTTTTGGGGTTTAGGGTTTGGGGTTCAGGGATTTAGGGTTTAGGGTTCAGGGCTCACACTATGAAGGTTCAGGTGTTAAGTAGGGTTAATAAGCATCCCAAATTCAATGGGTATAGTGCAGTTCTCCCACTTAGAGCCCTAGCAAAATTGGCTCAGGTTCCCCTACAAGCCGCGTGAACCCCAAAAAATGTTTTCTTTTTCCCTAGGTTACTGAGGAACCTACCCTAAAGCCTAAACCCCTTTCAACCTGAAAGACACCGAAAATGGGCGGAAGGATCGGCTGGTCCGTTCCTTCCGCGCGCTGCAGGTGCGGTGCAGGGATTCATCTGGCATTCCAGGGCAGCTGCTTCCCTAAACCCTAAACCCTTAAACCTTAGCCCTAAACCATGAGGACTTCAACTCTACACCCCTGAGCTCTACTCGTATCAGACAAAACACCTAAACCCTGCAAAGTTTAGAGGGGTTTCATCCGACTCTGCTCCCTGATCTGCGTGTCTCATGGCATGGGGACATCGTGTGGGTGCTGAACCTGCTGAAGGACGAACTGCCGTATCTTGGCAACGTCCTTTTGGGGTCCATGGATGTATACAATCTGAAGGACTGCACTGCATGGCGTTAAAGTATTCTCTTCAGGAGCCTGAATGAAGTTACCACAACAAGGACCCACATCTCGTCTGTTGAGTCACTCTAATGCTTCAAGTGCAGTAAACACTACGGCTTCATGACTTGACCTAGGCGGGGGCTGGCAGCTGGCCCGGCAGGGGTGCAGGGTTCAGGTTAGGGTAGTCCCACATGTCGGTATAAATCATGTTCATGTAGGGTCTGATATCAAGTACCGTCCCTTTTGTATCTCAAAGCACTCTACTTCGACTCCAGGGAAGCAACAAGGGCCAGCAACTTGGATCAAGCTCCATGTCTTGTGGATGCCCTTCCGCCGCCCTTCCGCAACCTCCGAAAGGCGAACCAGATGTCGCACCGCACCACACCGCTGTCAAAGGCCGGCGCAGTGAATAGGGGTCGGAATAATTACCAATAGTATTCCCTTGTCTCAGTATACTAGAATAAGCCCCCAAAACCCTATTCTAATTATTAAGGCCCCTATAGTCCCCCCAAGCACTACTTCAGCTTTGAATGGGTTGCTAGGTTTTCGGGCATCTTTTGGCGTAAATCCCGTTCCCGAGTGCTTCATTTGACTATTGCAGGTTAATCATTTTTCTAATGCGTAATCTGGCCATTGGATGTTCTGCTTTCCCTTTTTCTCATCGGCTTCACCCTTTTGTAAAGCATATCTTTAAAAGTGCGGATGGCTGTTTCACGAAAATTGGGGTGCGCCCTCGTTCGGTGATCTCTATGTTCTCATCCTTCAAATGCTTTTGTATCGCTTCCTTGTTCAATGAGGCTTCATCATCAGTATAGGTTATTTGGGGTTTCTTACCCTTTTTGTTTAAACACCCACTCATTCCACTTGCTATGTCTCCTTCTTGTTTGCATTTTATCGGCACTACGTGCATGAATTTATCAAAAACACCGATCATCTACACCCCTACCTTGAACTTTCGTTCTTTCAAATCGTTTAAACAAGCAAATCCATCTGATGTTCAGAAGCGGAATGAGGGGCGATAAAAATGTTTTACCTTCCGGCTTTCCTTTTCGTTCAACATTTTTCTAAACCTCCCATTGTTATGGTTTTGTCCTTCTCCTGTGCTTCCGCTAGTGTTCTGGATTTGTTTCCGAAACCAGCTTTATCATCTTCTATCATTAATGATTTTCTGTTTTTCACTTGAAGAACAATGGTTTCACATATTAAATTGCATCATCATTTTAAAGAGCTAGGCATGATCACCTTGTATTCGTTCATATCGTATTGGGGCGCTCCGCGCTTCTTTTCGTTGGGTTTCTTATCAAAAATGGTTCCGGTAATTTGCGTAGAGGTCAAATCTTCTTCGCTTAAGTGATTCTCTTCTAGGTATTCCTGAAGTTTTTTCTTTTGGTTGTGCCTGACACTTGCTCCTCGCTTCCTTTGCATAAACTTTTCGGCTTCCTTGCGCTTGGCATAGTATAAGCGCTGATGCAATGCCAGTTGTTGCTGAATCTTATCCATTGTCATATCCTCGGGGCATTTCAAATATGTCATATTAATATTATATATATATATATATACTTTTTTGTTTTCAAATTTTACCTTTAGATATGTTTTCTAGTCATAGCAGAAAATCTTTACAACAAGTGTTTAAAAAGAAGTTTGTTCTTTTTAAATGTAACTATATTGTATATGATGAGCAAAAAATATTAAGCGTAACACGAGAGCACTACAAACTACCTACGATAGTTGCAAAAGTCGTTTCACACAACCAGTTAGAACAAGTACATATATATATATATATACATAATAATATGTGGGTTGTTTGTGTTTCAAGAAAGACAAGAATGAACATACAAGTGCTTGGTTGAGTGAACGAAGAAAGATAAGAATGTATAATGCTAGGTCAAGTGCTATAATGGATGAACAAGAGTGTTATCAACATTTCAGTCAGTATAAGAAACGACTTAAATTGTTGTTTGAGCTTTATTAATTGCACGAGATATTCAGATA